CGGGCTGTCAGATTCCACCTCTGCGGCTCGGCGAGGTCTGCCCAGAGATCGGCGCGCTCGCCGTGCCCCCACCGAGCCAAAAGGTCAGGAGGAGGAGGAGGAGGAGGAGGAGGCGGAGGAGGGGGAGGATGAGGAGGAGGAGGAGGAGGAGGAGGAGGAGGAGGAGGAGGAGGAGGAGGAGGAGGAGGCGAAAGCGTCAGCTGGCTAGGCGCGGGCTCGTCCGCGCCGCGGCGGGGTGGCGAGCAAGCACTCGGGGGAGCATCTGCAGCTCCGTCCACGCCTCCGCGGAGGTGGCGTGGACAGCCTGCGCGAGGCACCGGGTCCGCGCCTGGGCCCGCGCCCCGCGGCACTCCTCGGGCACGTGCTGCCGCCTCGGCACCGCGCGGCTGTGGATCTCCGCCAGGGTGGGCACGCCTGGGGGTGCTGCCTGCGCATGCGGTGCCCCCGGCGGCTGCGCCCGAACTTGCTGCCGCCCGAGCGGGTGGCACGTCGGATGGATGCCGCCGCGGAGAGTCGAGACGCAGAGTCCGCACACGCGGCAGCGAGTGCGGCGGCTGCCCTGAAAGGCGCGCGCCGATGTGCGGGATCGCAGCGCCAGTTGTCGCCCATCCTCGGTGGCCTAAGCAGGTCCGCACCCACAGCCCTCCACTGGGCAGTGGACGTGGCCGTCCCCGCGAACCCTGCGGCCACTCCTGCGCCTCCTCCTCCCAATCTCGCCACGCCTCCTCGGCGTGCTCATGGGAACGTCCAGCGACAACGCCTCAATCCGGGGCGGGGCCGCCACGGCGTTGGGCGGCTCTGGATCTTTCGCCTGGCTTAGCGCTGGCCAGAGGCTCTGGCGAGGCGTGCGGGGTACAGATCAAAGGCGCGCCCGCGATTGCGGCGTGGAGATCCGCGGGCACTCCCAGGGCCCTCCCCTGGGTAGCCCAGCGTGGTGTCGAAGTCTGACGTACGTGACGCCAGTGGCCCGGACTTCCCTAGAGGCGGCGAAACTCACGCCGACGCCCAGGAGTGCAGCGAGCGAAAGCAGCCCGCACAGCGTGAGGACTGCGCGGAAGGGTCGGCTCCATGGAAGCGCTCCCAAGGCGGCGGGCCGAGAAGCTGCTCTCGCGTCGTCTCGGCCGCGCCGCAACGCCTGCAGCACCGAGCACATGTCGCTGGCAGCGAACGCCTGGGTGCAGCTTGCGAGAACCCTATGTTGGAGACGACTCTCTCTCCGTCGGTGTAGCTGTTGCGCATTCTTTTTGGTAATCCACGATCATTTTTTGAAGACGTCCCAAGCGAGAACCCAAGTTCGAAACCGAACCGCCCTACATCAATGTATTTACTGCTCATCCTAACCATCATGTGGTGTTGGCTCAATGTTTCGAATCAGCAGTGCCCCGCTTCTCCTCCTCCCGCCTCCCCCTCCCCTTCCTTGCCTCTGCCCTCTGCGTATCCATCTCTTCTTTGCCTCTGCTATCCACGTGCCAATTTTGGCACACCCCTCACACGTGTCGTGGCCCCATGAGGAGCTCCACCGGATGCTTCAAGGGCAACGGTCGCATGGCGGCCGCCCCACATTTCGGCATACCGCTCTCGCGTTTCGTGGCCCGCTATGGAGCTCCACCGAAGACCTCAGTGGCAACGGTCGCATAGCGGTCCCGCCCCATTTCGGCATATCCCTTTCGCGATTCGCGGCTTCGTAAGGAACTCCACGTAAAGCCCGTGTCGCTGCGATCGCGTGGAGACCCCGCCCCATGTCGGCACACCCCTGTTACGTTTCGTGGCCCCATGAAGAGCTCAACCGAAATCTCCAGTGGCTACGGTCTCGTGGCAACTCCACCCCATTTCGGCACGCTCCTCCCACTGCAACATAGGGAGCTCCACCTAAATTCCCAATTGTGGCGGTCGCATGTCTGTCTTGCCCCATTTCGGCACACCCCTCTGATGTTTCGTGGCCCGCTATGGAGCTCCACTGAAATCGCAAGTGGCCGCGGTCGCACGGCGGCCCGGCCCCGCCCCATTTTGGCACACCCCTTCTCACCCTTCGTGGACCCGCAAGAAGCTCGCTCCACCGAGGCCGGTGCCCACAACTGCAGCACCTATAACTGGCCATGGCTGAATTCTTCGCCGATGTGGTTTTACCAATCGTGTGCGCGGCGCCACGGCGAGAGCCCCATTCTGAAAGCCTTTCACCATCCATGTGCGCAGCGGCTGTGCTTAAAACAGCGAGTTTGCGCGACGCAAGGCCCCCATGGTGAAGATGGTCCACCCTCCACCCGTAGCAACGTTGGACATGTCAATCTGCAACGTCGTAAACGGTGGGGGCGTCTCAGGCGAAACGCCCGCACCGCCCTAACGTCACGTCTGGCGGTACGACGGGGAGAAGTTATCTATAAGAAAGAGAGATAGGCGAGGAAGATGAGAAAGGGAGCGCGAGGAGGGTGAACACTAGGAGGACGAGGACGAAAAGAAGGAGGAGGAGGAGGAGGATAAAGAGGAAGATGATGATGATGATGATGATGATGATGATGATGATGATGATGATGATGATGATGATGATGATGATGATGATGATGATGAGGGAAGGAGCCAGAATAAACTCAAGAAACGTCATATATGCTGCAACACATACTTCCGTCCCAAGTCCCCTCCTGACGGATCCCTACAAGCCCTCCTCTTCACCACGCGAAGCGCCACGCCTCCCTTGAAAGACGGACGCCCTATGGGCCTGAAATTCTGGCGAGAGCCCCGTTCTGAAATGAAATGATGGCCTTGCGACCCTCAAGCGAGCAATCATGAATGCGAGAAGAGAAGGTTGTACAGCTGAGCAGTGTGCTCAATGAAGGCCTAGTTATGAACAAGGAACCGACACTCCATCCTCGCAAGGATAATGCACTTTTGCACTTCTGGTTGTTACGCTTGAGCAGATCCGAAACGATGTCCCAAGTTCGAAACATAAACCGCGCTCCATCCGCGCAGCTGCTGCATATGTAAACTTAACTATCCGACGGGAGCCGCATTTTGAAACAGGAACCACTCTCCATCCTGTCAGGTTCGGTCAACGTTTAGGACGACTGTGCGCGGTGCTGCGGCGATCACAACATCTTGGCGAAAGAAACCGCGCTCCGTCCTTGCAGCAGCGGCAAGCTTTCAAGGCGAATGTGTGCGGACTGAAGCGAGAGCCACGCTTTGAAAAGGAGCTGCCAGCCATCAGCATAGCCGTTGCAAGCTGCTAAGAAGAGTGTGCGCGACGCTTCTTCGAAAGGCCCTTTTTGACAAGGAAACGACATCCATCCCTGTAGCTGGTGTAATTTTTTCAGCGAATCTGTGCGGCACTTAGGCGAGATCCCCATTTTGACAACGACTCTCCTCCATCCTTGTAGCTGTGGCACCTGTTTGAGACGAGCGGGCGCGGCTCTAAGGCGAGAGCCCCATTTTGAAAACCAGCCCCCTCCATCCCGCAGCTGATGTAAGCTCTTAAGACGACTGCACGTGGCGCTAAAATGATTTCCCCATCCTTGTTTTACTGCTGCAAGCTTTTGGTGCGAATTTGCTCGGCGCTAAAGCGAGGACTCAAGTAAAAAAACCCTTTAAGCATCAGTGTAATGACTGTTGAACATTTCGATTTGCAATCTCGTAAACGGTGGAGGACGCCTCGAGCGACACGCCAAGTCTGCTCTACCGCGACACATCTTGGGGTGCGACAGGGAAGTGTTATCTACAAGGAGGGAGGATGGATGATGCGGAGAAGGGGCTAGCAGAAGGAATATCGCAGTGAGCCGGCAGATCAGGAGGGGACGCACCCTCACTTCGGCAGCGCTTGCGGGCGTCGGCGGCGGCAACACCAGAAGGGGCCTCGCGCCGGCGCCGTGGCTGGCGGGCTGCCGCGCAGGACCGGGGTCTCGCCCACCCTGCCGCCGCTCGCGGAGCGCTTCTCGCGCTTCTTGTCCTCCACGTGCTGGCGATACGTCGCGTCGGCTGGGTGGTCCCAGGAGCTGTCGCTGGTCCTGAGGTTGAAGTAGAAGATCTCGCCCTCTGCATTCTGGCACGCCTTCCACTCATCGGTCAGGGGCGCTTTCAGGCCCTCGATGGCAAGGTACATCAGGTCCTCGTCGGCCTCCGGATCGATACCGAGCCACTCTGCGTAGTTGCGCACCTCCTCCTCGGTAGGGTTAAACTCATCGCTGGGCTTCTCCTCCAAGAAAATGACGCCGTCCTCGCACCCGGTGCCCATGCCTCTTCTCCTCTACAAGACCTGCCGTTACCGGGCAGGCATGAACGTGCGTAGCGGCAGGGCGAGGTGAGGACAAGGCCAGGAGGCCACCTTAAGCCAAAATGACTGATGCCCCGACCGCAATGTCAAGGACATGGCGCCTAGTCTTGATCCTCGCCCTTGCCATGAATATCTCTTCGTGAGCCCTAAGCCTCATTCCCACTTCCGACACCAAGATGCCTACCCCTACTCCTGTAGGTCGACCCTGTCCACGAATCATGATCCTGGCTCTTTCAATCCTCAGGCCAGTCGTACTGCCTGAAAGTGCACATGGCACCCTGATCACTAAACGAATCATCAGACGAGCCTGGAGCGTTTTCGGGCGGGGTGCTGGAGCAGGGGTAGCGGCGGACGATGACTTTTTACTGAAACACGCCATTGTGTCTCTTCAAGGGTCTGCGATGCCGCGGAGACGCAGATGGTCCAACGACCGGCTCCACCTCGGATGAAGCTGGTAAGCTGGCGAACGAGCCCCGGCAGCTCGTAGTCATATTCCAGCAGAGGGTAATTCGGGGCAGAAGGGGCCACAAGGATGCAGTATGCGCATGTGCGAAGAAATCATATGATAAGACACGCTCAACCCGTATAGCGAGGATGCGCAATAAGGATGCAAGGGCCTTGGACGCCCATGTCGCCACTTTGGGAGCGGGGCGCGGCCAACGGAAGTGGCCAAGGATGGGTCGAGGAGGCAAGGCTGCAAGGGTACCCTTGGAAAGGTTGCCCATCCTTACAGTGCGGGTTGACTGTATCTAGAGACGTATCCGTCGTCCATATGTTCTCTCCCCGAGGTGCCCCGGGACTTCTGTGGGTCCCGAGGGCCTCTGCGGGATGGTGCATTTTCTTGGGGCGGCCATTGGCAAGCGGACTTCTTATCTGATGTGCGCACTGTGATGAAACTCGCCCATCCCAGCCCCCCCTCCTCGACTTTTTTTGACGTTGCTAGGACTTGGTGAGCTAGCACGCAGCAGTCGCCCCTCATCCACTCCTCCTCCACTTCCTCCCTCCGCTTCGTTGCTTCGGCTACAGCTGGTCATGGCAGGCGTCTTGGTTTGAAGTTATCCTGGCACTCATGTGGTCGAGCGTTTCTTCTCGATGTCTGGTCTTTGGATTGTCTCGGAAGGTATGGCGTCGAGCGCTCCGTCTAAACTAGCGGGTGACCATTTTGACAACAAAACATGTATTATGCACTTTGCCCTGGCGGTCGTCGTCAACGGAAATACATAATCTTACGCCATGGAGTGTATGACACATCTGTTGTAACGCATGGGGCGATACCAACAAATTTGGCATATCATTTCAAACGACAGTAGTGGAATACCTTCTGTGTGCAATGGCATCACCAGCCGGCTGATTGCGCAACGCTCTCTGTACAGGCTTGGCAATTTTTGCTATCCCATTCTCGGGGTGGCACTCCTGCAGTACCAGTTTTCTGGGCATTGGAATTTCTTGCTACCAATGGTTTGGCATCGCGGTCCTTTGCCGTCTCCTCCTCTAAGGCGAGAGTGATGTCATGCTAACACTGGCTCAGGACACAATCCAGGATTTCCGATAACATCTAGCGGCGCAGACGGTGCGGAACGGTGCAGACGGTGCGGGACATTGAGCCCAAACGTACCAATACCGCTGCTCCCCGGACCTCTCCTGGGGTGCGCTCTGACTGGCACTTCGAGGCGAATCCAGCGGTGGCGACGAGGGCCCCCCCAGGAGGCCCCCCAAAGGGGGAAACGGGCGGAGGGCAGCGGTACGGGCACCTGGGCACAGCAAAGGAGGCGGACGCGATGCGTTCGCCCCACCGCGGGGCCGCTGTCTCCGTCAGGTGACTCACCTGACACCCGACGGAGACAGCGGCGAGCCTCGAAGCCGCTGCATTAAGCGGCGTTCTGGAACGTTACTCGCCCGCGGGCTGGCCTGCTCTTTGTGGCGTTCTGCCCGCGGCCCTCGCTCTCCCGCCCCCGCACGGTGCCCCGGAGGCAGGCTCGGGCTCTCGGGCCGGTGCCCCCGCCGCCTCTTCGGGATCGGCCAAGAGGGGGGCGTCCAAGAGCGGGGGGGGGCGCAAAGCATGGCCGGCGGCATGTGTGCGGCCCAGGGGAGGGGGGGGGCAGGGACGCAACGAGAGGAGGAGAGGCGCCATGAACTCTGGGGAACTATCGTGGCCCACGCCGTGATGTCCAGCCCACCTAGTCATCGGCCCCCTGCTGGCCGCACCCGAGCCTTGCTTGGCGGGGGCGCTCGGGCAAGAGCCCGCGACCACCGTGGGCGCCTCGGGATACGAGCCTGCACCCCTGCCCAGGCACGCGGCCCTCAACCGTGCCCTTGCCCGCCACCTCTTCGCCCCTCTGGCCCTATTCCTCCTCCTCCTCCTCCTCATCCTCCCTGCCTCGGTTTCCCTCCCTCTTCTTCCTCTTCCCTTCCTCCTTCTCTGAGGGGAGCTCCTCTCCTCCCTCCTCTTCCCCTCTTGCCTTCCTCTTCCTCCTCCTCCTCCTCCTCCTCGTCCTCGTCCTCGTCCTCCTCGTTCTCCTCCTCCTCCTCCTCCTCCTCCTCCTCCTCCTCCTCCTCCTCCTCCTCCTCCTCCTCCTCCCCCCCACCACTTTCCTCTCCCATTCCTCTCCCTTCCACCGTCCCCTCCCTCTCGTCCTCGCCGCCCGCGGACATGGCGGCCCCAGCGGCTCTGCAAGGGCCTCCCGCAGCTTAAACTGTCCCCAAGCCTCCCGGGAGCCGGGCCAGGCCTTCTGCGGGAACCGGCCCCGCGTGACTGGCGTAACTCCACACGTGCCACTTCTGCCACCGCGCGCCCGAGCCCTCGCCTGAAGGCCCCCCAGTAAAGGCGGCTGAGGTGTGCAGGAAGGCAACGAGTCTCCCTTTCTCTCCCTCCCCCTTTCTCCTCCTCCTCCTCCTTCTCCTCCTTCGTCTCCTCCTCGTCCTCCTCCTCCGCCTCCTCCTCCTCCTCCTCCTCCTCCTCCTCCTCCTCCCCTCCTCCACCCCTCCTCCTCCTCCTCCTCCTCCTCCTCCTCCTCCTCCTCCTCCTCCTCCACCTGCTCTTTCTCCTCCTCCTCCTCCTCCTCCTCCTCCTCCTCCTCCTCCCGTGGGGATGCTGGGAAAAACGCATGTGGGGATGGGCAACAAGCGCACGCGGCAAACGAGCACGGGAATGCGGAAAATACAAAAAACGCCTCCCCCCCAGATGGAGTGGGGACGCTCTGCTTTTTTCCACACCCCCGAGTCCCGCGGGGGATGCCCTTTCTCCGCCTCGCCCAACTGACAACGTCGGGCCGGTAGTGATGGGGGGTGACCTAAATGGGGGGTGTTTCTGTACACCCGTTTAGGTCACCCCCAATTGCCACCCGCCCGATAATATCCGAGTCTTATTGCAGTCGGACCTAGGCCAGAAGAACATCCTCCAAGAACATGAGGCACTCCGCCGGCTAAAACAAACAGAACACCTAAGGGCACACTCCCTAGGATGCACAAGAACATCCGACAAACACGAGGAACACTAATAGAGGCCTCCTAGATGGGGTCAGAGTAGATGTGGTTGGAGGATCGTGCCGCATCGGCGATACATCGGCGATGCGCCGGCGATGCACCGTCGACGTCGACGGTGCGTCGGCGACGTCGACGTGAAGCAAATCGCTCCACATCGAGCCGCATGGGCGATGCATCGGCGACGCGGCGCGATCCTCCGACCCCATCTACCCCGACCCCAATTAGGAGGCGTACACGTCGTTCAGTCCTAATCGTGTTCATTTTTAATTGTGCTCGTTTCTGATTGATCCTGGCCCCCTAGTGGCCAGGAAGAGGCCCAGGGTAGAACAATTAGAAATGAAAGGATCTTGCCCCCAAAAAAATCAAAGAACTTACGAATACTTAGAAATGAACAATGTGTAGGACTAGGGTACCCTCCCTCCCTCTTCTTCCTCTTCCCTTCCTCCTTCTCTGAGGGGAGCTCCTCTCCTCCCTCATCTTCCCCTCTCACCTTCCTCCTCCTCCTCCTCCTCCTCCTCCTCCTCCTCCTCCTCCTCCTCCTCCTCCCCCCCACCACTTTCCTCTCCCATTCCTCTCCCTTCCACCGTCCCCTCCCTCTCGTCCTCGCCGCCCGCGGACATGGCGGCCCCAGCGGCTCTGCAAGGGCCTCCCGCAGCTTAAACTGTCCCCAAGCCTCCCGGGAGCCGGGCCAGGCCTTCTGCGGGAACCGGCCCCGCGTGACTGGCGTAACTCCACACGTGCCACTTCTGCCACCGCGCGCCCGAGCCCTCGCCTGAAGGCCCCCCAGTAAAGGCGGCTGAGGTGTGCAGGAAGGCAACGAGTCTCCCTTTCTCTCCCTCCCCCTTTCTCCTCCTCCTCCTCCTTCTCCTCCTTCGTCTCCTCCTCGTCCTCCTCCTCCGCCTCCTCCTCCTCCTCCTCCTCCTCCTCCTCCTCCTCCTCCTCCTCCTCCCCCTCCTCCACCCCTCCCCTCCTCCTCCTCCTCCTCCTCCTCCTCCTCCTCCTCTCCTCCTCCTCCTCCTCCTCCTCCCTCCTCCCCACCCCTCATGCTCCTTCTCCTCCTCCTCCTCCTCCTCCTCCTCCTCCTCCTACCGTGGGAATGCTGGGAAAAACGCATGTGAGGATGGGCAACAAGCGCACGCGGCAAACGAGCACGGGAATGCGGAAAATACAAAAAACGCCTCCCCCCAGATGGAGTGGGGACGCTCTGCTTTTTTCCACACCCCCGAGTCCTGCGGGGGATGCCCTTTCTCCGCCTCGCCCAACTGACAACGTCGGGCCGGTAGTGATTGGGGGTGACCTAAATGGGGAGTGTTTCTGTACACCCGTTTAGGTCACCCCCAATTGCCACCCGCCCGATAATATGCGAGTCTTATTGCAGTCGGACCTAGGCCAGAAAAACATCCTCCAAGAACATGAGGCACTCCACCGGCTAAAACAAACAGAACACCTAAGGGCACCCTCCCTAGGATGCACAATAATATCGACAAACACGAGGAACACTAATAGAGGCCTCCTAGATGGGGTCAGAGTAGATGTGGTCGGAGGATCGTGCCGCATCGGCGATGCATCGGCGATGCGCCAGTGATGCACCGTCGACGTCGACGGTGCGTCGGCGACGTCGACGTGAAGCAAATCGCTCCACATCGAACCGCATGGGCGATGCATCGGCGACGCGGCGCGATCCTCCGACCCCATCTACCCCGACCCCAATTAGGAGGCGTACACGTCGTTCAGTCCTAATCGTGTTCATTTTTAATTGTGCTCGTTTCTTATTGATCCTGGCCCCCTAGTGGCCAGGAAGAGGCCCAGGGTAGAACAATTAGAAATGAAAGGATCTTGCCCCCCAAAAAATCAAAGAACTTTCGAATAATTAAAATGAACAATGTGTAGGACTAGGGTACCCTCCCCGAAGCGACTCGATCTTATACCTCGGTCTGACTGCACTCGTGCGGCTCTGGCTGCTCCCTGGATCCTCGGCGTTTTGGGCCCGGCCTCCAGCGAGGAGAAGGACCCGGCGCTTCTCGCTGCGCCCAGGAGGAGGAGGAGGAGGAGGAGGAGGAGGAGGAGGAGGAGGAGGAGGAGGAGGGGAGGAGGAGGAGGAGGAGGAGGAGGAGGAAGGAGGAGGAGGGAGAGGAGGAGGAGTAGGAGGAGGAGGAGGAGGAGGGGAGGAGGAGGAGGAGGAGGAAGGAGGAGGAGGAGGAGGGGGAGAAGGAGGGGGAGGAGGAGGAGGAGGAGGAGGAGGAGGAGGAGAGGGGGGAGGAGGAGGGAGGAGGATGAGGAGGGAGGGAGGGAGGAGGAGGAGGAGGAGGCGGGGGAGGAGAAGGAGGGGAGGAGGACAAGCTAGGTGCGCTCGCGTCATATCTGACATCCTACCCCTCCTTCCCATTCCTTACCATGGCGCAGATCCCCTCTCTACTCGCACAGTCGGATGTCGAGCAGGGCAATGATCCCGAAAGGGTGCGCGATGCATTGTGGAGCACGGCATGGCATGGCGTAGAAGAGCACCGCAAAGCGTAATATCAACCTAGCATTGCATTGCATGCCGTGGCATGGCACGGGAAATGACGCCAGCACTGCAGCGGGAGCGCGAGTCGAAACGAGCGGAAGCGCGGAAATGAGGCCAACGCTGCAGCGGGAGCACGATTCGGAACGAGCGGAAGCACGGAAATGAGGCCAGCGCCGCAGCGGGAGCACGATTCGGAACGAGCGGGGCCCGAAAATGAGGCCAGCGCCTCAGCGAGAGCAGCATTTTGAAAATTAGCCTGGCGAAGAACCCAACCATATGCAGCTGTCAGTACCGCAACTGCGGGTTTCATCTTCAATGGAACTCCCCATAGGACTACGGAACGTGTGAGGAGTGTGCCGAGATGGGTGCCACTGGGGCATTCGGCGAAGCTCCCTATGGGGACATGAAACACGCGCGGGGCGTGCCGACATGGGTGGCGGAAACGCATGTGCGGGCCGCCACTGGGGCCTCTAGTGGAGCTCCCTATGGGTCCCCGAAACATGATGCTGCTGCGGGGGGGCGGAGACGCATGTAAGCGCCGCTACTGGGGCCTTCGGTGGAGCTCCCTATGGGGCCACGAAACGTGTGAGGGGTGTGCCGAATTGGGTGCGGGTGGTGACGCATGCGGGCGGTGCCACTGGGGCCTTCGGTGGAGCTCCCTATGGGGCCACGAAACCTGTTGCTGTGAGGGGCGTGCCGGGATGGGTGGCGGGGACGCATGTGAGCGCGGCCGCTGGGGCCTTCGGTGGAACTCCCTATGGGGCCACGAAACGTGTGAGGGGTGTGCCGAATTGGGTGGGTGTGGGTGACGCATGTGAGCGCCGCCACTGGGGCCTCCGGTGGATGATGGGGCCACGAAACCTGTCAGGGATGTGCCGAAATGGGTGTGCGGGACGCATGCGCGGTTGCGGCCACTCGGCCTTCCGAGCGCCCTATGGGCCACGAAACGTGTGAGGGTGTGCCAATTGGGTGATGACGTGACGCATGCGGGCGGCAGCACTGGGGCCTTCGGTGGAGCTCCCTATGGGGCCACGAAGCGTGTGAGGGGTGTGCCGAATTTGGTGTGCGTGACGCATGCGGGCGGCAGCACTGGGGCCTTCGGTGGAGCTCCCTATGGGGCCACGAAACGTGTGAGAGGTGTGCCGAATTGGGTGGGGGTGACGCATGCGGGCGGCAGCACTGGGGCCTTCGGCGGAGCTCCTAGGGGGCCACGAAACGTGTGAGGGGTGTGCCGAATTGGGTGTGGGTGACGCATGCGGGCGGCAGCACCGGGGCCTTCGGCGGAGCTCCAATGAGGCCACGAAGCGTGTGAGGGGTGTGCCGAATTGGGTGTGGGTGACGCATGCGGGCGGCAGCACTGGGGCCTTCGGCGGAGCTCCTATGGGGCCACGAAACGTGTGAGGGGTGTGCCGAATTGGGTGTGGGTGACGCATGCGGGCGGCAGCACTGAGGCCTTCGGCGGAGCTCCTATGGGGCCACGAAACGTGGGAGGGGTGTGCCGAATTGGGTGTGGGTGACGCATGCGGGCGGCAGCACTGGGGCCTTCGGCGGAGCTCCTATGGGGCCATGAAACGTGTGAGGGGTGTGCCGAATTGGGTGTGGGTGACGCATGCGGGCGGCAGCACTGAGGCCTTCGGCGGAGCTCCTATGGGGCCACGAAACGTGTGAGGGGTGTGCCGAATTGGGTGTGGGTGACGCATGCGGGCGGCAGCACTGGGGCCTTCGGCGGAGCTCCTTATGGGGCCGACAAACGTGTGATTGGTTTGTGCCGAATTGGGGTGGGTGACGCAATGCGGCGCAGCACTGAGGCCTTCGGAGGAGCTCCTATGGGGCCACGAAACGTGTGAGGGGTGTGCCGAATTGGGTGTGGGTGACGCATGCGGGCGGCAGCACTGGGGCCTTCGGCGGAGCTCCTTATGGGGCTACGAAACGCTGCACTGGGTGGGTGAAACGCAGGGAAGAGGGGGAGGAGGGAGGAGGAGGGGGAGGAAGGGGGAGAGGAGGAAAGAGGCGGGAACGCGGGGCACCGTCTCTTCAAAACGAGGACCCAACACCACAGGATGGTTGGGAAAAATACAAGCGAAAACCCAACTCCGGGGAAATCTGTGTGCAAAATTATCCTGGCGAAAGACCCAACCATATGCAATTGTGAATACCGCAATTGTGAATATCTTCTTCGGTGGCGTTCCCTATGGGGCCGTGTGAGGGGTGTGCCGAAATGGGTGCGCGGGACGCGTGCGGGCACACCCACTGGGACCTTCGGTGGAGCTCCCTATGGGGCCACGAAACGTGTGAGGGGTGTGCCGAAATTTGCGTGCGGGACGCATGCGGGCACACCCACTGGGGCCTTCGGTGGAGCCCCTTACGGGGCCACGAAACGTGCGAGGGGTGTGCCGAAATGGGTGTGCGGGACGCATGCGGGCACACCCACTGGGGCCTTCCGTGGAGCTCCCTATGGGAAACGAAACGTGTGAGGGGTCACGAAAGGCGTGAGGGGTGTGCCGAAATGGGTGTGCGGGACGCATGCGGGCACACCCACTGGGGCCTTCGGTGGAGCTCCCTATGGGGCCACGAAACGTGTGAAGAGCATGCCGAAATGGGTGTGCGGGACGCATGCGGGCACACCCACTGGGACCTTCGGCGGAGCTCCCTATGGGGCCACGAAACGCGTGAGGGGTGTGCCGAAATGGGTGTGGGTGACGCATGCGGGCGGCAGCACTGGGGCCTTCTGTGGAGCTCCTTATGGGGCCACGAAGCGTGTGAGGGGTGTGCCGGCATGAACGTGCGGGACGCATGCGGGCACACCCACCAGGACCTTCGGTGGAGCCCTCTTTGGGGCCACGAAACGTGTGAGGGGTGTGCCGAATTGGGTGTGCGTGACGCATGCGGGCGGCAGCACTGGGGCCTTCGGCGGAGCTCCCTATGGGGTCACGAAACGTGTGAGGGGTGTGCCGAATTGGTGTGCGTGACGCATGCGGGCGGCAGCGCTGGGGCCTTCGGCGGAGTTCCCTATGGGGCCACGAAACGTGGTGGAGGGGTGTGCCAATTGGGTGTGCGTGCGCATGGCGGGCGGCAGCACTGGGCCATTCGGCGGAGCTCCCTATGGGGCCTCACGAAACGTTGTGAGGGGTTTGCCGAATTGGGGGTGTGTGCGTGACGCATGCGGGCGGTAGCCTGGGGCCTTCGGTGGTGCTCCCTATGGGGCCACGAAACGTGTGAGGGGTGTGCCGAATTGGGCGTGCGTGACGCATGCGGGCGGCAGCACTGGGGCCTTCGGTCAGGCTCCCTATGGGGCCACGAAACGTGTGAGGGGTGTGCCGAATTGGGTGTGCGTGACGCATGCGGGCGGCAGCACTGGGGCCTTCGGCGGAGCTCCTATGGGGCCACGAAACGTCTGAGGGGTGTGCCGAATTGGGTGTGGGTGACGCATGCGGGCGGCAGCACTGGGGCCTTCGGCGGAGCTCCTTATGGGGCCACGAAACGTGTGAGGGGTCTGCCGAATTGGGTGTGGGTGACGCATGCGGGCGGAAACACTGGGGCCTTCGGCGGAGCTCCCTATGGGGCCACGAAACGTGTGGTGAGGGGTGTGCCGAATTGGGTGTGCGTGACGCATGCGGGCGGCAGCACCGGGGCCTTCGGGGGAGCAGCTATGGGGCCACGAAACGTGTGAAGAGTGTGCCGAATTGGGTGTGCGTGACGCATGCGGGCGGCAGCACTGGGGCCTTCGGGGGAGCAGCTATGGGGCCACGAAACGCGTGAGGGGTGTGCCGAATTGGGTGTGGGTGACGCATGCGGTCGGCAGCACTGGGGCCTTCGGCGGAGCTCCCTATGGGGCCACGAAACGTGTGAGGGGTGTGCCGAATTGGGTGTGGGTGACGCATGCAGGCGGCAGCACTGGGGCCTTCGGCGGAGCTCCCTATGGGGCCACGAACGTGTGAAAGATGCGCCCGATTGGTGTGGGGACGCTGCGGGGGCCAGCACTGGGGCCTTCGGCGGAGCTCCATATGGGGACACCAAAGCGTGTGAGGGGTGTGCCGAATTGGGGGTGGGGACGGCTGCGGGCGGCAGAATGGGGCTTTCGGCGGAGCCCCTATGGGACACGAAACGTGTGAGGGGTGTGCCGAAGTGGGCGTGGGGGACGCATTGCGGGCGGCAGCACTGGGGCTTTCGGTGGGGCTCCCTATGGGGCCACGAAACTTGTGAGGGGTGTGCCGAATTGGGTGTGCGTGACGCATGCGGGCGGCAGCAATGGGGCCTTCGGCGGAGCTCCCTATGGGGCCACGAAACGTGTGAGGGGTGTGCCAAATTGGGTGTGGGTGACGCATGCTGGCGGCAGCACTGGGGCCTTCGGCGGAGCTCCTATGGGGCCACGAAACGTGTGAGGGGTGTGCCGAATTGGGTGTGCGTGACGCATGCGGGCGGCAGCACTGGGGCCTTCGGCGGAGCTCTTATGGGGCCACGAAGCGTGTGTGGGGTGTGCCGAATTGTGTGTGGGTGACGCATGCGGGTGGCAGCACTGGGGCCTTCGGCGGAGCTCCTATGGGGCCACGAAACGTGTGAGGGGTTGTGCCGAATTGGGTGTGGGTGACGCGTGCGGGCGGCAGCACTGGGGCCTTCGGCGGAGCTCCTATGGGGCCACGCAACGTGTGAGGGGTGTGCCGAATTGGGTTTGGGTGACGCATGCGGGCGGCAGCACTGGGGCCTTCGGCGGAGCTCCCTATGGGGCCACGAAACGTGTGAGGGGTGTGCCGACTTGGGTGTGGGTGACGCATGCGGGCGGCAGCACTGGGGCCTTCGGCGGAGCTCCTATGGGGCCACGAAGCGTGTGAGGGGTGTGCCGAAATGGAGGAGGGAGGAGGGAGGATGGGGGGAGGAGGGGGGAGAGGAGGAAGGAGGCGGGAACGCGGGGCACCGTCTCTTCAAAACGAGGACCCAACACCACAGGATGGTTGGGAAAAACAGTACGCGGGGGGGGTCGGACACTTTCAGGCCGTCATCAGGGGAAGAGGGAGAGTAGTATTCATATTGAATAATTGTGGAGGAGGATGAGGAGGAGGAGGGGGATGAGGAGCAGGAGGGGGAGGAGGAGGAGGAGGAGGAGGAGGAGGAGGAGGAGGAGGAGGAGGATGAGGAGGAGGAGGAGGAGGATGAGGAGGACTAGTGTAAACCTAAAAGTGATCAACGATGTTGGAATTAACCCTCCCTTCAAGCTCCCTCTTCACAGGCTTCTACAACGGTTCATTTCCATTGCGGGAAATGCCTCGTTTGAAGGCAACCGTTTGAAGACCCCGAAGCATGCCAAAACATTGCTTTCGGGATTTCAACGCCACGGATCAACCTGACTGCTGCGTCTTGACGATCCAGAACCGTGCCCGAATGCCATTTTTGGGACTTCAACACCGCGAGCCAACATGACTGTTCCACCCGCATAATCCTGAATCCTTCCAGAACACCGTTTCTGGTATGTTGATCATGGGAATCCGTGACGCTCTTCCATATTTGTACAACGAATGTGCGCGGCGCTAGAGCGAAAACAACATTTTGAAAACCACCCGCCCTCGATCCGTGAAGCTCTTGCAATTTCGTAAAACGAGTGTGAGCGGCGCTATAGCGAGAACCACACTTTGAAAACCACCCGCCCTCAATCCGTGAAGGTCTTGCACATCTTCCAAACCAAGGTGCGCGGCGCTAAAGCGAGAACCACATTTTGAAAACCACCCGCCCTCAATCCGTGAAACTCCTGCAAATTTTGGAAACGGATGTGCGCGGCGCTAAGGGGAGAACCCAACTTGGAAAACCACCCGCCCTTGATCCGTGAAGCTCTTGCACATGTTTAAAGCCAATTTGCGCGGCGCTGAGGCGACAACCGCATTTTGAAAACCACCCGCCCTGAATCCGTGAAGATCTTATACACATTTAAAATGAATGTGCGCGGCGCTGAGGTGAGAACCGCATTTTGAAAACCACCCGCCCTCCATCTGCGAAGCTGTTGTCACGTTTTAAGCTTCAGAATCATCAACGGTGAGGAAGTCTCAGGCGAGACGCCTGGCCCGCCCTAAAAATTATCCTGGCGAAGGACCCAACCGTATGCAGTTGTGAGTATCGCGATTGTGAATATCTTCATTGGTGACGCTCCCTATGGGGCCACGAACCGCATGAGGGGTGTGCCGAAATGTGGCGGGGTACACAACGCAAAGGAATACGATAGATCTGATTACGAGAGAAAGAACGCGGGTGAGTCAGAGCGCGAGGGAATCTGAATATGAATGGGTCTGCGCGCGAGTGAATATATTTGCATGAATGCGATCATGGAACCGCCTAGTGTAAGTGTCGAGCATGCCTGTCCGAACACACGTGACACTGGGCGTGGCCGCCGCAAGCAGCTTCCGCGGGAACCCCGACGGCAGCGTCCGCACGTCGCGACGCCCATGTCGGCACGCCTCTTGCGAGGATCGCGCCCGCTTTCGGCTCTTCTTTTCCTTCCTCTTTGCCCGCGCACTCCAAAATCCAAGGCTGCGGGCGCAGCGCAGCGCGGAGTCCCCGCGACGCGCGCTGGTCGCCCCGGGCGGGGTCCCAGCGACGCGCGCGGGTCGTCCGCTGCGCGAAGCAGAGAGAGCTGACTAGCTAACTGGCTGGCTGATAGCGGGCAAGTCTCTGACCGCTGGGCAGAGCGACGACGGGCGAACGAGGCGCCGGGCCCCCCGCAGCACGGAGTTCCCGCGACGCGCGCTGGTCGCCCCGAGAGGGTCCCAGCGACGCGCGCGGGTCGTCCGCGGCGCGAGGCCAAACAATTAGTCGGGCAGTCGAGAGAAGGCGCGGCTCGGGGGAGACGCTCCTCAGGTCAGGCCTCGCGGATGAACTCGGTGAAGCCGAGCTCCCTGGCGAGGGCCGTCGCTTCCCTCCTGCACCGCTTCGTGCGCGCCGCAAACTGCTCCAGCTGCTTCCGCAAGCCCTGCGGCGGCCCTGCCAGGAAGAACTCGATGCGCGGCGCCCGCATGAGCAGGAGGTCCTCGTGGCGCGTGGCGCGCGAGAGCAGCACGTAGAGCTCCAGCCACCAGTCGTCGTCCTCCTTCTTGCCGTTCCCTACCTCGTGGCGGCCGCAATCCAGGATCACGCCTGGGCGACGTCGACCGAGGGAGCAGCGCGCCGGGCAGCCGACGGCCCAGGGCGAGAGTCCACAGGACCGAGAGATGGTCTGGCCGCGGACTGCTCGCGCCCCGGAGGTCTGGCCGCCCCCGGAGCGCCGTTCCCCCGCCCCGTCGCCTTCGCGCATGGTGCGCCCCTGGCACGCCACCGCGGTGATGACCCTGCCGTGCGAGAAATGCGGGGGGTGTGCCGAAATGGGTGGGGGTGACGCATGCGGGCGGCGGGCACTGGGGCCTTCGGTGGAGCTCCCTATGGAGCCACGAAGCGTGTGAGGGGTGTGCCGAAATGGGTGTGGGTGACGCATGCGGCCGCGGCCACTGGGGCCTTCGGTGGAGCTCCCTATGGAGCCACGAAACGTGTGAGGGGTGTGCCGAAATGGGTGTGGGTGACGCATGCGGCCGCGGCCACTGGGGCCTTCGGTGGAGCTCCCTATGGAGCCACGAAACGTGTGAGGGGTGTGCCGAAATGGGTGTGGGTGACGCATGCGGCCGCGGGCACTGGGGCCTTCGGTGGAGCTCCCTATGGAGCCACGAAACGTGTGAGGGGTGTGCCGAAATGGGTGTGGGTGACGCATGCGGCCGCGGGCACTGGGGCCTTCGGTGGAGCTCCCTATGGAGCCACGAACGTGTGAGGGGTGTGCCGAAATGGGTGTGGGTGACGCATGCGGCCGCGGCCACCGGGGCCTTCGGTGGAGCTCCCTATGGAGCCATGAACGTGTGAGGGGTGTGCCGAATGGGTGTGGGTGACGCATGCGGCCGCGGGCACTGGGGCCTTCGGTGGAGCTCCCTATGGAGCCACGAAGCGTGTGAGGGGTGTGCCGAATTGGGTGTGGGTGACGCATACGGCCGCGGCCACTGGGGCCTTCGGTGGAGCTCCCTATGGAGCCTCGAAGCGTGTGAGGGGTGTGCCGAAATGGGTGTGGGTGACGCATGCGGCCGCGGGCACTGGGGCCTTCGGTGGAGCTCCCTATGGAGCCACGAAACGTGTGAGGGGTGTGCCGAAATGGGTGTGGGTGACGCATGCGGCCGCGGGCACTGGGGCCTTCGGTGGAGCTCCCTATGGAGCCACGAAACGTGTGAGGGGTGTGCCGAAATGGGTGTGGGTGACGCTTGCGGCCGCGGGCACTGGGGCCTTCGGTGGAGCTCCCTATGGAGCCACGAAACGTGTGAGGGGTGTGCCGAAATGGGTGTGGGTGACGCATGCGGCCGCGGGCACTGGGGCCTTCGGTGGAGCTCCCTATGGAGCCACGAAACGTGTGAGGGGTGTGCCGAAATGGGTGTGGGGGACGCATGCGGCCGCGGGCACTGGGGCCTTCGGTGGAGCTCCCTATGGAGCCACGAAACGTGTGAGGGGTGTGCCGAAATGGGTGTGGGGGACGCATGCGGCCGCGGGCACTGGGGCCTTCGGTGGAGCTCCCTATGGAGCCACGAAACGTGTGAGGGGTGTGCCGAAATGGGTGTGGGGACGCATGCGGCCGCGGGCACTGGGGCCTTCGGTGGAGCTCCCTATGGAGCCACGAAACGTGTGAGGGGTGTGCCGAAATGGGTGTGGGTGACGCATGCGGCCGCGGGCACTGGGGCCTTCGGTGGAGCTCCCTATGGAGCCACGAAACGTGTGAGGGGTGTGCCGATGATGATGATGATGATGATGATGATGATGATGATGATGATGATGATGATGATGATGATGATGATGATGATGATGATGATGATGATGATGATGATGATGATGATGATGATGATGATGATGGGAGGGGGGAGGAGGCAGCGGGAGGAAGGAAGGAAGGAAGGAAGGAAGGAGAACGCGGGGCACCGTCTCTTCAAAACGAGGACCCAACACCACAGGATGGTTGGGAACTAGTCTCGGGGTGCGACAGGGAGAAATTATTCATGAGGCAAAGAAATGGAGGAGGAGGAGGAGAAGGAGGAGGAGGAGGAGGAGGAGGAGGGGGAGGAGGGGGAGGAGGAGTAGGAGTAGGAGGAGGAGGGGAATGAAGAGGAGGAGCAGGGCAGGAGGAGCAGGAGCAGGAGGAGCAGGAGGAGGAGCAGGAGGAGGAGGTAGGCCGGCCTGACGCCAGGAGGGCTGGTCGGGCCGTGCACTGCAAAGGCCACCTGCGCTCTCGCCCCGTGGCAGCGCCAGAGGGGGCCAGACCGCCGTGGAGACGCCCAACTAATGCCACGAGGGCTGGTCGGGCTGGGCGCTGCAGAGCCCACCTGCGCTCGCCTCGTAGTAGCGCCAGAGGGGGCCAGACCGCCTCGGAGCCCCGGGGTACAGAGTCTGCCACTCGAAGAGGCGCCACGCCTTCACCTTCGTCAGATTCTGGTCGGGCCCCCCGTTGTGCTTGCAGTAGTGGCTCAGCGGCAGGTCCGGCCTCGGCAACTTGTACAACTTCGGGGTCCAGGTCGTCGGGATCCCGTCGTAGGCCCAAATGTAGTCGGTCCCGCCGTACACATCGCAAGGGGCGTGACTCGGGTGGGACGGTAACCAATGCTCCATGGCGAACCGGCCGAGCCCGAGCCAAGCCGACATCTGTCCATCCCAGTCGAGTTCCAAAGGTTGCCCCGAGGTCGGAACACCACTCTCGCCGACGCCCCCCGAGAGCATCGTCACCTTCTGCATGGCCGTCGCCATCTTGGAGGGCTCGACCAAGCGAGAGACGTACTCGCACCTGATCGCCTCCTCCTCCTCCTCCTTCTCCTCCTCCTCCTCCTCCTCCTCTTCCCCTTGTTCCTTCTCCTCGTTGTCGTCGTCGCCATCATCATCGCCGTCCTGCTAAGGTGAGGATAAGTCGGGAATGTTTGAAAACTGGCGGGTCTGGAGGATGGATGCCTCGGGCGCCGCAGCCGTTGCAGAGCACTCTGGAACGCTCTGAGAGCGTTCCAAGGCGCTCTGGAACGACTTATACTCATCCTGTGCCTGCCTCCTCCTCCTCCTCCTCCTCCTCCTCCTCCTCCTCCCACGTGCGTCGCGCCTGGCCACCCACATGTTGCCTGGGAAATGTTGGTGCGGCAGGGGGCTGAACCGTGACCCGCACGCGTTGCACTCCTGGGGCATGTTCTGGCATGCGTCTGACCAGGCCCCCTTGGTCAGGAAGCGCCTGAAGTCGTCATTTTCAGGCTTCTTATGGAAAGACCCTTTGCTGTGCATGTACAGTACACGATCCGAAGGATTGTGCTTGCAATGATCAAAAAGGTACTGAAGAGTAACGACTTCGTCGCCAGCTTGCTTATGCTCTAGCTGGTGGCACGTGGGGCAATTGATCAGCTCTGGTACTTTGCTGCCGATGGGGCCTATGAAAACGTAGTTCAACGTCAAGCCTGCGCGAAAGGCGGCGGACGCCTTTACAACGTCCATGTGCTCTTTGACAATGGAGCCTGTCAGATTAGCACCTTCTGAATCATCCTTCTGGAAGACGTGGTAGAAAACGGCCAGCGGAGACGACATCGTCTGACTGCCCGCGATTGCCCCCGCTGGAGTCGGAGCCGGCTGCGCCGGCGCCAGGACTGACGGCGACGACCGCGCCGCAGGCCCGCGCTGTGCCTTCGGAGGCTGTTAGAGGTGTTCCTGACCTGAGGTGACCCCCCACCTTGTCGCGCCACTTTGGAGCCCCGTGGGCCCCCCCCCCGCCCGAGGAAGAGGGGGCGGAGGAGGAGGAGGAGGCGGAGGAGGAGGAGGAGGAGGAGGATTAAGAGGAGAAGGAGGCGGAGGCGGATGATGATGAGGAGGAGGAGGAGAAGGAGGAGGAGGCGGAGGATAGGAAGGAGGAGGAGGAGGAGGGGAGGAGGGGGGGGGAGGAGGAGTGGAGGAGGAGGAGGAGGAGGAGCAGGAGGAGGAGGGCCTCGTGATGGGGTGCTCTGGAGGCCACCTGGGCCACCCTGGGCCAGCTGACGCCACCCTGGGCCAGGGCCGCCTCCCTCTGGCAAAACCCCCGAAGCCTGCTGGAGCTGGGCCGGCTGCAGGAGAACCACGACGTCGGCGCCGGCGCCGACGGCCGCCTCCGAGCGCAGCAGTCGCCCGCCTGCGTGCTCCGGGGCCTGCGCCGGCCTCGGCCGTCCTCTAGGGGGGGCGAGGAGGAGGAAGAGGAGGAGGAGGAGGAGGAGGAGGAGGAGGAGGAGGAGGAGGAGGAGGAGGAGGAGGAGGAGGAGGAGGAGGAGGACGAGGAGGCGGAGGAGAAGGAGGAGGAGGAGGAGGAGGAGGAGGAGGAGGAGGAGGAGGAGAATGATGATGATGATGAGGAGGAGGCGGAGGAGGAGGAGGAGGAGGCGGAGGAGGAGGAGGAGGAGGAGGAGGAGGAGGAGGAGGAGGAGGACGGCGTCCTGGCTGCACGGCCTGGCTCGCCGCCGCGGGCCGCGCGAGCAGCCCGTCGAGCAGCAGGGCGAGCGCCCACATCGTCTGCGCCAGGGGGGCTCGGCGGTGACGGCCAGTTCCTTCGGCGATAATTCTTTGGGCTCGTTGGGCGCGCACTGCTCGCGCGCCTGAGCTTCTGACCAAACACGGCAGTGGAGAGGAGGGAGGGCGAGGAGCAAGCTGATGGGCGTTTTCCCACATCCTAAGTGGGGGAGGTTTTTCTTTTCTCAGCAAACCCCGCGCAGGAGAGAACCTCACCTGCCTTCCCCTCGTCTCCCTTCGCACTCATCACCCCGCGCAGGAAGAAGCTGCCCACCCACACACTCATCATCATCACCACCAACGTAATCACCATCACCATCACCAACGTCATCCTCGTCATCATCAACACCACCATCATCACTACCACCACCCGACATGATTTCCGACACATCATCATCACAAGTGCCAATTATCATGACCTTTATCATCATCACCACCATCATCATCAACATCACCATCAGCATCATCATCATCATCACCATCATCATCAGCATCGCCACCACCATCAGCATCACCATCGTCATCATCGTCATCACCATCATGATTGTCGACAATCGTAATCGTCGTCGTCGTCGTCGTCCTCCTCCTCCTCCTCCTCCTCATCATCAACATCGTCGTCGTCATCATCACCATGCTCACCTCCACGCACACTCACGCACTCAGGCATTCACTAACACATTAGATTAGTCTTGAGGTTTTCTCTCGAACTGGGGCCGCGTCAATAAGTGAATCTCGAAGAAGTCTCGAGTGGAAGGAGCCCTCTCCCTGAGAGCATCCCACCTCATGTTTTCAACCCGAGGCGGTCATCGGCTTATTGTAGCAGGCATAACACTGGAGCACCCCGAAGGAGCAACAGTTGAGGCTGTCTCGAGCGGGGGCCCCGTCGGTGAGTGAGTTCCAGGGAAGTCTCGAGCGGGAGCCCCCTCCCTAAAGGCCCCCACCTCATTTTTGTATTATCAGCCCGGGCGGGTCATCTAACACCTGTATCCGTCGTCGCTTTTGGGCTTCTGATGCCTGGGTGACAAGGAAGTCTCGAGCATGAGCCTTGTCTATGAGTGAATCGCGAGGAAGCCTCCAGCAAGAACCCCCTCCCCAATCTGTCGTCACTTTGGGGCCCCTCAAGCCTGAAGCTTGAGGACGTCTCGAGCGGGAGCCGCGTCTGTGAGTGAATCGCGAGGCTGGGCCGCGCGGGTCCCTACTCCTCGTGGCCCCAAACCTGATGAAGGATCGGCCGCCTCGATCGGGCCACTTCCTCAAATCCTCAGAGGAAGAATCGGCATCCCAAAGAAAGAAGGTGGGACTGAGTACGGAATGCGGGAAGGACTGGGACGATGAAGCGGGGGAGCAAGAGGACGAGTTGAGAGCAGCAGGGAGCAGCCGACAGCAGCAGAGAGCAGCATGTGCCAGGAGAGCGCAGCAGTCGACAGCAGCGAGCAGCAGGCGCAAGCAGAGACCAATACTGAGCAACATCCGCCAGCAGGTACGAGCTGGCAATAGCAGCCAACAACAGGCGCCAGCAGAGAGCAGCACTCACCAGCAAACAGCAACAGACAGCAGCAGCCAAGGAGACAACCGAGACCACCAGAGACCAGCAGAGGACCGCAGTGCAACCAACAGAGAGCAGCAGACACCAGCAACGAGCAGCAGACACCAGCAATAACCAGCACAGACCGGCAGACGCTAGTAGAGAGCAGCAGGGACCAGCATACAGCAGCAGACACCAGCAGAGAGTATAATGTGCCAGCAGCGGGCATCAGGCGATCGTAGAGTGCAGCAGAGACCAACATAACCCAACATTGACCACTATCGAGCAGCAGGCAACAGCAGAGAGCAGCAGGGCGCACTAGAGACCAACGGAACGCGACACATACCAGCAGAGATCAGCAGACTCCGGCACGGAGCAGCAACCACCGGCAGAGAGCAGCAGACAACGGCGTGCAGCAGCATCATGCGCCAGCAGAGGGCAACAGTGACACCATCAGACAGCAGCAGGCAGCAGCAGTGAGCAGCAGTGAGCAGCAAAGACCAGCAGAGAGCAGCAGACACCAGCAGCGACCAGTAACGACCAGCATACACTAGCAGGGACCAGCAGGGAGCAACAGCAAATAGGACACAGCAGCAGAGAGCAGCAGGCGCCAGCAGAGAACAGCAGACACCAGCAGAGAGCAGCAGACACCAACGGATGACAGAGAGCAACAGAGACCCGCAGAGAGCAGCAGTGAGACCAGCAGAGAGCAGCAGACACCAGATGTACCAGCAGTGAGCAGCAGTGAGCAGCAGAAAGCAACAAGGACTGGCAGAGAACAGCAGAGTAAACAGCAGAGAGCAGTAGACAACACCACAAACCAGCAACGACCAGCAGAGAGCAGCAGACACCAGTAGAGAGCAGCAGAGACAAGCATAGAGCAGAAGAGAGTAGCATGTACCAGCAGAGAGCAGCAGACGACAGCAGAAAGCAGCAGACACCAGCAAAGAACAGCAGACACGAGCAAAGAACAACAGTCAACGGCAGACAGCAGCAGGCGCCAGCAAAGACCTGTAGCTCCTGGATGTTCTCGTCGCGATCGTGGACGTCAACGTCATCGTCCCGGGGCCGTCTAGAAAACATCTTGGGCTTCTCTGGGGGCGTATTGGAGCTCTCCATGTCAAAACCACCCGGCATACGCGTCGGTAACCCCGAGGCGAATCTGAAACCAACGAAAAACGTGTAGCCTCAAGAGTGACGATTATCATTGCCATGCTCGGGCGACCTGATCCCCCAACCGCAAGCTTAAATCCGGTGCCCGCGCGTTGCATGATTCTAGCACGTGCGCCGCGAGACGACGCCAACTCCAGAGCGCACACATCTCTCTCCCCCCCTCTCATCGGGGCGCCCTGCGGATGTCAGAATATGCGCCTGCTGAGACCACGCGGCACGTGCGCTGCAGTCTGTGCTGGCACTCCGGTGGCCCTGTCGTCGCCGCGGCCGGCTGCCTATGTACTCCGGGCGGTGCTGGAAAGGAGTCCGCGGCGCCGTCCGTGAGCACAATCTGGAGGTGGTGGTGCGCGTGTGCAGTTGCCACAGCCAGCACAGCAGGGGAAGCCGAAAGGCGCCCCTCGAACTGATGCCGCGAGCCTGCCCATAAACCGCCCCCAGCCTGACCAACCCGGCGAGGAGGATGATGAGGAGGAGGACGAGGATGCGAGATGGGGATCATTAGTAGGATGATGGATGGATGGCCTTTTGGAGGATGGACGGAGGCGGTGGATCGTATCCAAAGGAAATCCTCGAGAGGGAGGCGGGTGGCAAACCGTATTGTGCCGAACAGTAGCTGCGACCCATCGAGGTCGTCAAACCCTCTCGCGCCTTCGTCTAATTCAGACGGTGGCAAACATAAATCGTGCCAACAAACGCAGACTGGCCCTCTTGAAAGCCCAAACGGAATGAGAGGCCCTTGGGAAGCAAATGACGCGCCACACAATCCTTCTCCCCACTGCAGCCTTCGATGCAGGCGGCCTCCCGCTGCATGCTCGAATCGTCGGCCACGTTCCGAGCCAGGAATACTGCAAAGGAGGTGACGAGAAGGGCGAGAACAATGAGGAAGAGGATATCGACGACGAGGAGAGCGATGCGAAGAGGTGGATGGAGGAAGAGACGAAATCTGGGAGAAGGAGCCCAGATGCGACTGACACAATCAGCCGCTCTTGCCGTATGAACGCCATGCCATTGTACAGAAAGAGGCACTGGTGCAAACTGTCGCCTACAGCTCGTCACACACCTTGGCTCTATGAGGTAGCTATGAGTCTTCAGGCGCACTTGTGTCCAGATGGTCTGGCAGACGAACGCATGCACATATACGCACATACACACATCTCTATATGTGTACATACGTGTATATATATATATATATATATGTATACGTACATATGTACACACGTATAGGTACATACGTAATTATATATACATACGTACAGGTATATATACGTAGGCATACATAGGCACACGCGTATATGTACATACATATATATATACTCGTACATATCAATGTATACGTACATTCGTACGTGTGTATATATACTCAGCTGCGTGAACATGCACATCTACATCTATAGGCATGGGTGTATATACACATGCACACCAAGACGCATATACACATACACATACACACACCTATATATGCAACTACGCATGCATGTATACTTCAGTGACACGGCAGGGTGGGTCTCTCCGAATAGCATTGAGATTCAAAAACCCGTCTGATATGATCACTTCCTGATGGGATGCCTTCTGGGACACGTGCCGATCTCACTACATCTGCGTGGCTGTCTGAACTCTGGGGGGGGGGGTGACTGTTACCGTGACTGCCTGCCACCCCAGAACACACGAGGAAGCATGACATCATCGGGGAGACTAGAAACAATAGTACTTTTCGATCGCATGCCTGGCCTAGCTTCCCCGCCACAGCCCTGCACTGCCCTGCCCTGCCCCTGCCCGACCTCTTTGTGCTAGCATCGCAGGCCCCGTGCGGAAGTCAGCGGCAGGCTCTAAAACTGCTCGCCGCGAGCAGCGACGTAGCAGCGAGGAAGAACATGCGACGGAGCGGGTGGACGGACGGACAGGGGCGGCCACGACGTGCCGAGCTGCACGTCACGTACATTCGAGGCGTTGACATAAGGAACCCTAAATAAGGAACGAGGCCCCTTTTTGCAACAGGTTCAACCTCGATTTCCCATGGAAAACCTCAGGAAAACCCGAGGCAAACTTTGAAACAATCAAGGAACACCGAGCCCCGCCCCAACGAAAAGGGTTCCTTCTTCAGCGCCCCGACTGTAGACACCATGCGCGTGGCGTGCTGCCCCGGCGAGGCGTGCTCACGCTCTGGCCCCATGTTCCTCCTCCCCGACCGCCGTCCTCCTCTGTGACCAAATCGGTGACCGAGGCTACAGTTGGAGCGCTGACCCAAGGAGCCCTAAGTAAGGAACGAGGCCCCTTAGATCCACAAGTTGGACTTCGATTTCCCATCGGAAACCCAAGCAAAGCCCAAGGCAAGCTGTGAAGCAATCAAGGAACACGGAGCCCCTCCCCACCGAAAAGGGTTCCTTCTTCAGGGCCCCGACTGTAGCAAGCCGAGGCCGTCCAACAGAGCTGCTCTGGAGATGGTCGGGAGCAGGAGCAGGGGGGCAGGACGAAGATGATGATGGTGATGGTGATGATGGTGATGATGATGCTGCTGGTAATGATGGTGAGGGTTATGATTTGGACAGCGATGGGGATGAAGCGGCTGCTTATGCTGATGAGGATGGTGCTGATGAAGGGGTGGCTGACGATGATGGCGATGATGATGGTGATGGTGATGGCGATGATGGCGAGGACGAGTGTGGTGATGCTGATGGTGGTCGTGATTCTGATGGTAACGGCGACGATGTTGATACTGATGCTGATGGTGATGATGATGAGGATGATGCTGAGGATGACACTGATGATGGCGATGCTGATGTCTATGCTGATGATGCAGATGATGCAGATGATGCTGCTGATGATGCTGATTCCATCCATCCTGATACCGATGATGATACTGATGCTGATGATGATGATGACGATGTTGATGATGATATCGATGATGCTGATGATGCTGATGACGATGCTGATGACGTTGATGACGACGACGCCTATGACGATGACGGCGATGCTAATGATGCTGCTGCTGCTGATACTGATGACGATGATGACGCTACTGATGATGACGACGGCGACGATGAAGCTGGCGATGATGCTGTTGCTGATGATGACAATGACGACGATGATGCCCATGCTGCTGATGCTGCTGCTGTTGCTGATGATGCTGCTGATTCTGATGTTAATGATGATGCTGCTGATGATGATGATCATGATGACGATGACGATGGCGATGACGATGATGATGATGATGATGATGATGCTGATGATGATGATGATGATGCTGATGCTGATGATGATGATGATGATGACGATGGCGGTCTGTGTGCAATGGCGCATCTTCTGTGCTGAAGTGCGCTCGCCCGTCGCACGCCCCCCCCCCTCAGAAATACATATACTGGTATTCCCTTCCAATAGAGCCCAAACCCGATGGAATGGTGATGGTTTGGGCTCACACGGGCATGTACCTGTGACGATGGTGTCCATCATGGGGAGAAAGGACATGGCGCTCCAATTAGGATGGTGGTGAGGAGTAGGGTGACGGACAGGAGAAAGAGGGGCAAGAGGATGGGGAGGATACGGAGCAGGAGGCAACGAGGCAACGACTACCGCTGCGGAGCATCAGCTGCCACAAGACCTACTGTCCTGGGCTCTGCAGCTGTGCCCCCAACAGCAAACGCACGTCCTCGGACTCCAAGTCTTTGGGCTCCACTACACGTCCTTGGTTGCCCGCCTGGAGGGGGGGGAGGAGGAGGAAGAGGAAAGCCCTCGCCCCCCTCGTTTATGTCCCTCGTCGTCGTCGTCGTTATCATCATCATCATCATCATCATCATCATCATCATCATCATCATCATCATCATCATCATCATCATCATCATCATCATCATCATCATCATCATCATCATCATCAACACCATCACCGTTATCATTACCATCCTCATCATCATCACCATCCTCATCATCATCACCATCCTCATCATCATCCACATCATTACCATCACCACCATCATCAACACCACAATGATTATAAACATCCTCCTCCCCCGCCTCCTCCTCCTCCTCCTCCTCCTCCTCCTCATCATCATCATCATCATCCCTCTATCTTTCTCTTCCGTGCTTCCCCACCTCGTCCTGCTCCTCCTCCATTCTCCTCCTTGCTCGTCGTCATCGTCCTCCTCCTCTTCCTCCTACTCGTCATTCTCCCTCCCCCTCTTCCTCTTCCCTCGTCCCCTTCGCGTCCTCCTCCGCCCCAAATCTTCCTCCTGTTGGCTGTCTGGTAGGATGACCACTCGAGACATGGATATAACAGGTGCATATGATAGTGACCTCTTCCAGATAGACGGAGTGAAAGGCATGAGCGCGGCGGTAGAACGCGCGAATTATGCGGGCACAGCGCAGTACTGGCTTGAGCCAGTACAGCGGCGGGCCCAGGCAAAGAACAGGTGAAATGGGCAGAACAAGTACCGTTGGAATCTGGTGCTTAAGCTGGTCCGTCGTGCCCCCTCTGGTTCCCGTGCGCAAGCCGCACAAGAACCCACGGTGTGAGATTCAGATGGGGTGCTCTTCTGACCGCACCCCACTACAGGACGGCTGCTGATAAGGGCTCTACTAACCGCCCTGTCACAAACAACTGCCACACGCGTTGGTGAAAAAGCTCTACTAACCGTTCCTTCACAAAACTTGCCGGCCACTGCGAGGGAGAGATTATTGGTGGAGCACGCGCTGAATTGATGCTGCCGCTCCACTAACACAGCTAGCGGGAACAGCACTCGCTTGTGGGCTCGCCTTCCCCATGAGGGCGAGTCCAGGGTGAGGGGCAACGCGTAGGTAGGAGCCTGGCAGGGCCAGGGCTGCCGCGCCCGTCGACAGCCGTTCGCGACCACAGGTCGCGGTGCTGACGTCCGCGCAGGCGTAAAGGTCGCAGCCTGCGGCCTTGGGCGTGCCCAGCGAGGGCAACCGGCTTCTTGAACTCGCGGGCGTCGGTGGCGTCGTCATCCTGGCTGCCGTTGCCCGCCGCCAGCAGCATGAGCTGCTTGGGCGGCAGGCCTGCGCAGTGCGGCTGAAGCTCGCCGCCGTCGTCGACGAGGTTGCGCGAGTGGCCGCTCGGCGCCGACTCCAGATCGAAGTGGCATGTGCCGGGGCTCCATGTGATCTCGTAGCCGCCTGGCCCGGGGAGCGCGAAGTGCCTGTGGTCCACGCCCGTCTCCGCCACCCCTTTGTTGGACTGCGCGGATTGCAGGAAAAATGGTGCAGGGACGTCAGCGCCTGCTCCCTCCACGGCCCGGCGTGCATGGCGTGCTGATTATTCGCGCCGGCGCGGGAAGTCGTCGCGATAGAACAGTGAACCTCGTTGTCTGCTACCTGTGGCCCGTTGCCAACTCCTGCTCTGTGCAGCGGGGTTGACAACTTCTCCTTGGAGGGCTGCAATCTCCATCGGCTGGATCTTGTGGCCCAGATTCTTGGCGAAGTGCAGCCCCCGGAGGTTCGTTCAGGCGCCAGTGTCGTCTATGACGCCTAACCTGCCATCTTGTAGATCGGTGCTCGCCAGGTGGCACGGTGACTCGTTCAATGAGCTCGAGCCTGTGCCCGACGAGGTCGGCCGCCGCGGAACGTCAGCCTCTGTCGCGGCATGTGCAAGTCCAGGTGGGCTTCGTTGGGCGCCGCCGTGCTTACTGCGGATGCGAAAGTGGGCGCGCTGCCCAGGGACTGGGCGTCCCGGGGCCAGGGGCTGGTCGAGGAGACTGCGCGATGTCCTGCTGGGGTAGTGTCTCCTCCGGCGCGCCCCTGTCTGCTGCTGCGCGGGCCGACGCCGCTGGCGCCTGGCCCTTCGGCGCACGACCTGCGCCAATGAAGTGGACGTCGGCGATGAGGTCGGCCGGGCCGCGGCGCGACGGGCAGCGCGCCAAACGGGCGTGGCGTGCCTGGTGCAGAATGTGGCGGCGCCGCAGGCGTGCCGCCCTCTCGCCATGCTGGAAGGCCTCGGGGGAGATAGAAAGGCCCCGATCATCGCCAGTGAAAGCCGCGACTGCGGGGGGCTCGGCAGGCGCCGCGGCCGGCGCGGGAGGGGGATTGCCAAGGGTTTCTGTCCAAATCTGTGCGGCCAGACGGCGCTGATCGCCCCGCTGCCGTGCGAGCTCGAGCGCCAGCTGTGTGCTGTGGAGCTCGTCGAGGTGCCGTCGTTGTGTGCGGTTGAGGGTGGTGCCCACGTTGTGCTCGGATCGGTCGCCGCTGGCCGTCCAGGTGTCGCGGCTGGCGAACCGCGTGGCCATTCTCCCTGGCGGCTGACTTATGTCGACAAGGCCTCTCTGGTTGAGAGGAGCCAGCTCCTGGGGAGACTCCGGCAATGGCAGTGACGTGACTGCCGGTGCTGACTGCGGTGGCCGCATGGAGCTCGACCCATGCCGGGGGCTGGGGCTGAGTGCGTGCGCGCCCAGCTCGGCGGCTGCCCGTCGGCAGGCGGGGCCAGAGGCGCGGCGACTTGGGCGTTGAGGTCGCCTGCCTGGTTGCGCCCATGAGCTTGCCCCAATGGGGGCGCGCCGCCCAGTGGTGTCCACCGTTGTGGCGTGTTGATTGTGGTATTGCTAGGGGAGCTGCTGGAGCTGCTGGTGCTACGGGCGCCGTTCCCCCCGCTGCTGCAGCGCGGGCTGGTGGAGCAGTCGCAGTGCCCGCCAGCGGCGCAGACTCTTCTTGCGCGCGGCTCGTGAATTCTGCCATCTCCTGTCGTAGTCGTCGTAGTTCGGCGTCGTTCGGGCTGGGGGGGGCGAAGAAAATGATGTTGTGCCGGGCCAGCTCGACCACTCGCTGTGGTCGACTTGTTGTCGCGAGCCGTCTGACGACGCACTTGGAGCAGCTGCTGCTGCTGGCGGTGGTTCTGCTGCTGCTGCTGCTGCTGCTGCTGCTGCTGCTATTGTTGGAGTGGGCTGTCCGCCGTTCCAAGGGTCAGCGCGGGATCGCCCTCCCCGGCGCCCGCAACCGCGGGCCGCGGAGTCCCAGAGGGGTCCCTGGTCATCCAGTCCGCGTGCGCTCCTGGTGGGGGCTGCTGCTCGGATGGGCCTGGCGGCCCCTGCTGTCCCAGAGCGTGAGTGGTGAGAACGCTGGTGGTGATGAGTGTCAAGTGAGCGCGCCCTCGGTAGCGGCGCCGGGGGCAGTCGCGCTAAAGGTGTTCCTCAGGGTCGCGCTCGTGTCGCGGGCGCCCTGAGCCTGATCTTGCGTGGGCGCGCGCCCGTAAAGAAAGTGTGCTGTTGGGCGGGGTGGGCCGCGAAGGCGAGGTTGCCTGGCGATCCCCCAACCGTGTGCCCAAGCCGCCGCATCTGGCCAGTCATGTGCGTGAGCCACTGGGCGTTCGTGGGGTAGGCTATACTTTGTGCTGCAAGATCATGGTCATGTTCGACGCGCCGACGGCGCGCAACAAGAGGAAGCTGAGGCCTTCGTAGCCGATCATGAAGTGACCTGCTTGCTGCGCTCGGTTTTGAAGGATGTCGAATCGCGCGAGGACGTTGTCGATGCGCTCTTGCGGCAGTCTGTTGCCGCTTATGAGTGCTGACGCTGCCGAAGCGCGCTCTTCCTCGCCTGGTTGGCCCCGCCCCTCGGCCAGACTGTGCATCAAGAAGGTTATTGGTGGCACTGGGTTGCCTTGGATGAGCCCTCCCTAGGCCAGGACAACTGGCGGCCGTTCGTCCTCGCGCTCGCGTCCCATGCCGGTGAGGCGTGACAAGACGTGGGCGGCCTGGCGAAACTCTTCGATGTCTGATTTCGCCTGTCCAGATCATCTCCTCACGCGCCCACTTCTGGAAGGGCACGGGGGCGTGCTGCTCGGGCCCCCAGGTGCGGAGGTGTCGCATGTTGCCGCTGCCTCCGCCTGCGTCCATGCAGGAAGATGCAGCTAGTGATAGCAACCATGCCCACTCCGATGGCCTTCTTTCCGTAGTGTAACTCTTTCGGCGTGTCGTAGAGGTGCTGGAGGCTGAGGGTCCACCGGCGACGCTGCTCTGGAAGTGTGCCTCCGAGGCGCCGTGGAGAGTGGAGAACTGCCCCGAGTGTTTTCCTCCTGGTCTGGGAGGAGAACACTCGGGGCAGTTCTTCCTCCTCCAGGGCTGTTGCTCAGCGCTTTGTTGTTTCACCCGCCTTCTAGTGCCACACGGTCGGCGCTCGCGGCTTGCCCTCCATTGCATGCTGCGCGCCCGCGGTCGCCGAGGGGTAATCGGCGGGATGGCGACGTCGGCAGGAATGGCCGGCCTCCTGGTTCCCGACGACTGTTTTCTGCCGGACGGGGGTCGATTGCCACTTCCCCCCGTGGAGGGTGGGACGCTCGAGGACAAAGAGTGTGTTCCTCCTGGTCTGCGTAGTTGGCGTATACTTCCGTCGTGTGGTCGTGGTTCTCTCGACGCTCGGGGCACCCCGCGACGCAGACACGGGGGAATGCCCCTCGCGCGTCGGATCGTCCCTGTGCTGAGCGCCGCGGACTGCACGATCGTCAAGAGGAGCGCACATCGGAACCCAGTCCTGCCAGGCTGCAGGGGATGCGTGGGTAAAGTGAAAGGTCACGCACCAAGGAACATAAGTAACCATCTTTCTCCCAAGTTTGATTCGCTGTCCCTTCGAATGCTGGCAACACTGTCTCTAGGCCCTCCATGGCCTCCCCGCTCTTTTCTGCTTGCTCCTCCCAGAACTCTCGCGACGCAGACGCTAGAAGCTCGGGACCCTTACCTGACGCCGTAGATGTGAGCGGTTTGTTGAGCAGCTGTTTGGAATCTGAGGCTACGCCCGCAGGCGGGTCGTTGAAGAGGAGGTGGAGGAGGAACAGGAGGAGGAGGAGGAGGAGGCGGACATGGAGGAGGACTCCTATCCTCCCCCTGTTTTAGTCAATGCTCCGATCTGCTTCCTCTGCTATGTCCGCGCGTGCCGTGCCTTGCCACGCGCGCCCTCAATTTCCATGTTGGCACCAAAGACTTTGCACGACTGAACGCGGTGAAAAGAGCCCTCGAATATCTGGGAAGCGGGTGGGGGGGATTAGATGCCAGTGATCGGAAGCAGGGACTTCCGCCCCCTCCCCCTCCCCCGATCCCCCGCCCCACTCCCCTTACTTTCTCCCCCCTCTCTTGCCTCCCTCTCTTCGCCCTCGCGGGGCCGCTGGCACGTAAGAGACGGGAGCGAAGGAGGATCGATGAGGAAGGGGGCTGGCCAGGGATCGGTGAGGAAGGATGAAAAGGGGGTGGGGGAGGAACGCGCCAACGCCGCCTCGGGAGCAGAATTTTGGCCCCTGCCTACGCAGAGAAAAATTCGCAACTCGGCTATTTGGCCACCTTGGCTTGCAACTCCTCCTGGGTTTGCTCGACCTTCAGAGGTGCAGAACTGCTCAAGTTCCCGATTTCACCAAACACAAACTTTGAACGCGCACGATCACCCTGGGCCCGCAATGTTCCGGATACCACCCCCCGACAATGTATCCTCAAGCTGACCGTCCCCCCTGCCGCTTTAACCACTCCCGACCCGTGCTTCCTCAGCCACTGGGTGCCGTCTGGCGCACGTAAGCGTACAATGGGTCCACTCCCCAAAGGCCAGGACGATTTCCTTCGAGAGCGAGCTCGTTAGTGAATCCTGAGGTTCCGTCGAGAATCAGCTCCTGAGGGAACTCCTTGGATAAATAACTCCTGAATGGATTCTGGAATTTCATCGAGACCGGGCTTTTGAGGGCGGGAACGAGCTCGTAGGTGAATTCTGAATTCTGGAATCTCCTCGATAACGGGTGCAGTACTCCCCTGACCTGGTGTGGGCATCGACGCGTCCAGCTCCGGCGGAGCCAGTGGACGTCATCGACGCCACGTTTGTTGACGACGAAGAGGTTGTGTTGACAGCCGAGTCCCCTGCCCTGCTCGATCGTGCAATTCACGTCGACTTGCGCACGTTGCAGCGCATTTTCACGTTGTCTGCGCTCAACATCAAGTGGCCCCCTGGCGCAAGCGAGTGCCTACTGAGCTACCAGCAACACAGGCACGAATATGGATGTTACATATCCGCTCCGTCGTGACCGAACATCACTGCTCATTGTTGAGCGTTACGCGCACCTTGGTAACTCCATCAACCTTAAAGGCACATTCCTTAGGGATGGCAGAAACGGGGCTGAGTCAACAATGAGTGCGTATGTGCCGCTGGCATATACGATGTTTGGCAGCCCGTTCAATGCTGTATCCACTGTGCACCATGTGATAGTGTCGCTCATTCATAGTCGCTTGTTCTTTCACACACAATGCGTTGCCGAGACTGTGCCCTTCCTAAGTGCGTTGGATCACGCGCGCATGCGTGCCATCCAGCGAATTCTGCGGGTGTCCTCAATTTGATGCGTCATGTGAGTCTGATTGCCCGGTCCGTCGGCGCCACCAGATCGATAGTGCCGATTGCATCATACGGCGGAGGAGGCTCTGTCACATTGCCCGTTTGTGCATGTGCCACCATATACCTCTTCTCAATTTGTTGTCTGATGCGCGCGGGGGGAACACCCACCCATCGGTTGTTCAGATTCGTGAAGAGGTGCGTTACATGTGCCAAGGCATCCCGTTGCCAGATCAGCTTCGCGTCTTCGATCCTGATGTTGACGACGACTGTTGGCAAACATTCATGGTCGAACCACCCCCTGAGTGGGGCCGCCTTGTTAGTCGCACTCGTTTTTGCGAGTCAGCACGTGACGCGGACGTGCCGCCCCAGGGTTCCGCTGTCAAATAGTTCGCGCGCATTGTGTCCTCCAAGTGCTGCTGCTCGCTTTGCTTGCGGAGAAAGCCTTGCTACAGCATCAACGGATCAAGCAAAACAAACATAGTCAGATGTCGCTGATCATCGCTTCGGCGCAGACTTCCGGCAGAGGCACAGGCTGTTGCGACATCTTACGGACAGGAGGCGGACCACGTGTCAGCATGCGGTTCTGGCCATGGGTCTGCCCTCTCCGTCCGAAGCTGAAATGCAGAGGCTGGACGCTCAGACCCGGCAGCTAGCTGCAACAGACCGCCGGTAGGGTCACATCGACCCCCTTGCCAACAGCACAGCGCTCACGGCAACCTGCAAAAGGATTGGGCACGCTTTGTCGGCAGAGTTTACCTTGAAATGTACAATTTTTCGCTATGCACTTGAGACGTTCGAAGAATACCCCTCGGCAACAACAAAAAACCTCGCTGAGCTTCGTTCGGCCCAGCGCCGCTGTTCGTAGTATAGCCTACCTTGGCCAGTTTTGGCTCGAACTGGCTTAGCTTCGCGCCGATCGAAGCTTCGCTGAACCTATCAACCACCGTGCCGCTGGGCACGGAATGGGCGTCTCCTCAGCTCCTTTGCCCAATCCCCTGAGCCTCAGTCCTCGATCCTAAAGAGTCTTTGAGGGGCCTGGGCCCCAAATCACCAGATCTCTCAGGGATTCTCGCGTGCCCCCCTGGGGTTCCCAGCATCTTCTCGCATTACTTTTTTTTGGTCCAAGAGGGCCTCGGGACGTGCCAAGAGGGCCCCACGAGGCCTCCAAGACGGTCCAATAGGGCCCCGAGTCGCCGAAATATCGTTTCAAGACGCCCAAGATGGCCTCAAGATGGCCCAAGAGGCGTCTAAGATGCCACAAGAGGCCTCCAAGAGGCCTCCCAAGAGGGCCCCAAGAGGAAAACATCATTGATGTTCCTCAGGTATTTGTCAGATTTTGGCGTTCTCGCCTTTTCGGCTTTCCGACGCTCCAAGACGGCCCAAGATGCCCCTCAAACCACAGCAAAACGGCTCAAGAGGCCTCCAAGAGGGCCCCAAGACGGCCTTAGAGCGCCCCCAGACGGCCCAAGAGGCGCCCAACACGGCCACAGCCTCAAGACGGTCCCAAAAGGAGCCCAAGAGAGAGAGAGAGAGAGAGAGAGAGAGAGAGAGAGAACTCGAACAGAAAATCCGAGGCTTCCGCCCTAAGAGGCCCCCAGGAGGCCTCAAGAGGCGCCTAAGAGGGCCAAAAGAGGGCCCAATATTCTCCAACACGACCCAAAGAGGCCTCACAACTGCATCCAAGAGGCCCCCGAGAGGCCTCCCACAATATCCAAACGAACATCCAACAGGCTCAATACCCACAACCCAGGCACGATGGCGAGATGGGCCGAAGGGGGTCGATAGCTGTGTGTTCGCCTATCTGGTCATGCATTCGCAACACATCTCTAGCTTGTCGGTTGTGTGGTCGTTCAATGTATCTTCAACGTTGGTCTCGTCCTTGCTTCGGATCTGCCTCCGTGCTCCTGTGGCACGAGTTAGAGTGTCCTCTGGTCCCGTGTTCGATCCCCTGGAGCCTCAGTCCCCTTAGCTGCCCCGACACGCAACACGCAACACGTATCGTATCGATGCGAAGCTCAACACGTAGGTTGAAAACGTAGGTCCGACGCGATAGAATTCGCCAAAGCGTAGTCCAATACGCGGAGACAACACGCAGCGTATTGACACGGACGTCTTGAACACGGGCCGTGTTGCGTTTCAAAACAGAAGGGGCCCTGGGACACACAAATAAATACACAGAAATAACAGGATTCCCCATACTTTCCTATATCTTCTGGGTTTTCTCGTCTCCCCCCCCACTGCCCACATTTTTTCCCATCTTTTGTGGGGGAATCGACGATTCATTGTGTCTGTGTGTTTTGTCCCCCCTGAAGAACGGGCGCATCGAGGCAGCTGAGGCCTCAGTCCTCAGTCCCGAGGATTCCTGGCGGGGGCCCGGACCCCACACGCACGAGTCCCTCGGGGCCCGGCGCGTGCCTCCCGGCGGCCCCCAATTGGAGCGCTCCCGCGCTGCCCTCCTCGGAGCCTCGGGGCGGGCCAGGGAGAGGGCCCCCTCCTCCTCCTTCTCCTCCTCCTCCTCCTCCTCCTCCTCCTCCTCCTCCTCCTCCTCCTCCTCCTCCCCCTCCTCCCCCTTCCCCGTCATCCTCGTCCTCCCTCCTCTTTCTCGTCGTCCTCGTCTTCCTCCTGATCATCCTCCCCCTCCCCTCCCCCATTTCTGGTGAAAGGGAAAGGGAAAGGAGGGCGAGAGAGCTGGAAGGGAGGGCAGGAAAATGGAGGGAAGCAGGACGTGGGGAGGAGGGGAGGGGAATGCATGTAGGCAGGGAGAAAGAGACGGAGGGAAGGGTGGGCGACGAATGGGAGGACAAAGGACGGCACGGCGGGAGGGAATGGAGCGGCGAAGATAGAACGGAAAGGGAAGGGAAGAAGGGTGAGATAGGGAACGAGAGCAGGGATGGAAGGGTTAGGAGAGCGGAGGGGAGGAGAGGGGAGCCGCCAGGGGGGGGGGAAAGGAGGAAAAGCAGGGAAGAAAGACAGGAGGGGAGGATCTCCTCCTCCTCCTCCTCCTCCTCCTCCCCTCTCCTCCTCCCCTCCTCCTCCTCCTCCTCCTCCTCCCCCCTCCTCTTCCTCCTCCTCCTTCTCCTCTCCTCCTCCTCCTCCTCCTCCTCTCCTCCTCCCCTCCTCCTCCTCCCCCCTCCTCCTCCTCCTCCTCCTCCTCCTCCTCCTCCTGCTCCTGCTCCTCCTCCTCCTCCTCCTCCTTCTCCCCAAGAGGCCGCTCCGACGGTCCACGAGTCGCTCCGAGCCGCCGAACGATCGCTCCGAGATGCGCAAGGTGGCCCCAAGAGGCGTCTACGATGCCCCAGGACGCCCCAAGAGGCCTCCAGAGAGGGCCCCAAGAGGAACACACCATTGACTCGCCTGGATCTACGGAAGACTTTGGGGTTCTCGCCATTTCGGCTTCCCGAGGCTCCAAGATGGCTGAAGAGACCCCAAGATCGCTCCAAAACGGCCCAATAGGACTCCAAGGGGGCCACAAAACGGCTACAAAGGCCCCAAGACGGCCCTAGAGGCCCCGAAGACGGCTCCAAGAGGGGGCTCAGACGGGGGACCCGAACGGACATTTCGAGCCCTCAGCCCCGAGAGGCCCCCAGGAGGCCCCAAGACGGCCCTCCAGAGGCCCCTAAGAGACCCCAAGAGGCCCCCAAGAGGCAGGCCCCCAACCCCAAGCTGCCCCAAGAGGCTCCCAAGAGGCTTGCAAGGCTGCCCCCAAGAGGCCCCCGAGAGCGCTCCGAAGAGACCCCAGGAAGCATCTCTGAGGTCTTTTACCCACAATGCAGGCACGGTGGCGGGATGGGCCGAAGGCCATTCGATCCGCCGCTCCCTGTTGGCTTGCCACAAGGGTGCCCGGCGTGCTGGACCCTTTCGGTTTTGGTTATTTTTCCAAGCAACTCTCCCCTGGGGCTTCGGCCCGTCCCGCCGGCCACCCGGAATATGCGCCCGTCACTGCTTTTCACGCCCAAGTTGGCCCCAAATGGACTCCAAGATGTCTCCAAGACGGCCAAGATGGCCTCCAAGTCTGCCTGAGACGGTCCAAGATGGCCTCCAAGACGGCCCAAGAGGGTCCAAGATGCCTCCACGTCCGCCCAAGACGCCTCTAAGACGGCCAGAGACTGCCCAAGAGGTGCCCAAGAGGCCTCCAAGACGGCTACAGAGGCCTCCGAGAGGTCCTCCGGGAGGGCCCGAAGAGGCTAAAATCATTGATTTCCCTTTGGTTTTTGAAGGATTTTCGTATTTGCTCCTTTTCGGTCTTCGACGGCCCAAGACGGCCCAAGAAGCATCCGAGATCGCCCCCAAAGCGCCCAAGAGGCCTTCAAGATGGCCTCAGGACTGCCCAAGAGGCCCTGAAAACGGCCCCAAGAGGGCCCAAAGACGGCCCAAGAGGCCTTTGAGGCACCCAAGGAGGCCTCCAAGACGGCCCTGGAGCAGCCCACGAGGGTCCGAAGTCGGCCCAGAGATGCCTCCAAGACGGCCTCCGACAGTGTCCGACGGGCCGGGAGCCCACCAAGACGGCCCAAGATGGCTCTAAGATGGCCCCAGACGGCCGAGGCCTCCAAGAGGGGCCCCAGGAAGGCCCGAAGAGGCCAAAATCATTGATGTTCCTTATGTGTTGGAGACATTTTGGCATTGCCATTTTGTCTCTTTCCACCGGCCCCAGACGACTCAAGAGCCCAAAGATCGCACAAGAGGCCTCCAAGATGGCTCCAGAACGGCAGGCTCCCAAGACGGCCCCAAGAGAGCCCAAAGACAGCCCAAGAGGCCTCCAAGACGCTCACGATGACCTCCAATACGGCCCTGGTCGGCACAGAGAGGCTTCCAAAACGGCTTCCGACGGCGTCAGACGGGCCAGGAGCTCACCAAAACTTCAAGAGGCCCCCAAGATCGCCCCCAGAGCGCCTAAGAGGCCTCCAAGATGGCCCCAAGAGTGTCCCCAGAAGCCTCCAAGACGGCCCAAACACGGCCCAAGAGGCCTCCACGACGCCCAAGATAGCCTCCAAGACGGCCCTGGAGCACCCCAAGAGGGCCCAAGTCGGCCCAGAGAGGCCCCCAAGACGGCTTCCGACGGCGTCTGACGGGCCAGGAGCCCACCAAGGCAGCCAAAGAGGCCCCCGAGAAGCCCCCCAGGGCCCCCAAGAGGCCCAAGGAGGCCCCCAAGATGCCTCCAAGAGGCTCCCAGGAAGCTCCCAGGAGGCCCCAAGAGTGTCCCCAGAGGCTCCCAAGATGCCCCTCCTCCTCCTCCTTCTCCTCCTCCTACTCCTCCTCCACCTCCTCCTCCGCCTCCTTCTGATCTTCCCCGCCATCCTCCCCCAGGTGTTCCCCGAAAGGTTTCCACAACGATTGGGGGAACACATGGTCCGATAGCTTGGCAGAGCTCTTGCCACAACGCTCGGCCACATGGGCGGTTCTAGAAGGCAAGGGGCGGCGGTGATTCGCCGTAGGCGACTTCGATAATGGGTTCGCCTAGACTGGCTGCGTTCTCGGTCGGGCTCGGTTTCACCTGCCGAAGGCCAATTCCAGCTTCACTTTAGCATTGGCTTGTACTGTGTGCCAAGATGGAACTTCCTTGTTTTGCTGCTGCTTCCATCCTGTACTATACCTACTCGTCAATCCATCTGCCGTCCCATCTTTTTATCTGCGGTCATGTCCAGTCGTCTCCTTTCATCGGACGTCGTATTCTTTGCCTCTCTTATCATCTCCGAACTGCCCATCTCCTCCGATCACCTCTGCTCGCCGAAGTCATAGTCCTCGTTCTCGTCGTAGCAATGGTCGCCTCCGACGTCCTCGTTCATTTGGTTAGACGCGTTACCAGCCGCGGCCGTAACCTCCCTCATCATATTTCTCCAATTCCTCTTCCTCCTTCCCCTTGTCCTCTTCTTCTGCCATCGAGATTGGGACACATTGCATTGACATCAGGGCTCCTGCTTGAGCTCCAAGCACACCGCGAAACAGTCGCCCTCGTAAACGTCGATCGCAGCGTCCTCATTCGTTCGCTCGCTGCTGTATGTGTAACGCTCATGATCTATTCCCCCTCCTTCCCTTCCCCTCCCTTTCCCCCCTCCACCCTCCCAACCCCTTCTGTCCCACCCAGGCCCGTTCTCCTATTCTCCTGCCCTTCCCTTCCTCTTCCCGAGGAGGAGGAGGAGGAGGAGGAGGAGGAGGAGGAGGAGGAGGAGGAGGAGGAGGAGGAGGAGGAGGAGGAGGAGGAGGAGGAGGAGGAGGAGGAGGGGAGGAGGAGGAGGAGGAGGAGGAGGAGGAGGAGGAGGAGGAGGAGGAGGAGGAGGAGGAGGAGGAGGAGGAGGAGGAGGAGGAGGAGAGGAGGAGGAGGAGGAGGGAGGAGGAGGAGGAGGAGGAGGAGGAGGGGAGGAGGCGGAGGAGGAGGAGGAGTGAGGAGGAGGAGGAGGAGGAGGAGAGGAGGAGGAGGAGGAGGAGGAGGAGGAGGGGGGTGGAGGAGGAGGATGAGGAGGAGGAGGAGGAGGAGGAGGAGGAGGAGGAGGAGATCCTCCCCTCCTGTCTTTCTTCCCTGATTTTCCTCCTTGCCCCCCCTGGCGGCTCCCCTCTGCTCCCCTCCGCTCTCCTAACCCTTCCATCCCTGCTCTCGTTCCCTCCTCTCCCCCTTCTTCCCTTCCCTTTCCGTTCTATCTTCGCCGCTCCACTCCCTCCCGCCGTGCCGTCCCTTGCCTTCCCATTCGTCGTCCACCCTTCCCTCCGTCTCTTTCTCTCCAATACTGCCTACCTGCATTCCCCTCCCCTCCTCCCCACGTCCTGCTTCCCTCCATTTCCCCGCCCTCCCTTCTAGCTCTCTCGCCCTCCTTTCCCTTTCCCTTTCACCAGAAATGGGGGAGGGGAGGGGGAGGATGATCAGGAGGAAGACGTGGACGACGAGAAAGAGGAGGGAAGACGAGGATGACGGGGAAGGGGGAGACGAGGCTAAAGCCCAGAGAGTGCGGGATCGGGAGGACGATCGGGACGACGAGGAAGAGGAGCAGCATGCGGGAAGAGGACGGGGAGGGGGCCCTCTCCCTCATGCCTTCCCCCCCCCATCCCGCACCCCTTGGCTTCCCTGAGCTCGCGCCTCGCGGTGTGCGAAGCGCGACTGCCCTCGCGCCCTCAGGCCGCCCCCGCGTGCAGAAACGGCATGTCGCCAGCCCTGAGCTGCAAAACGCGCGCGCGCACCGATGGGAGACGTGGTGGGCAGCCTTCTGCCGGCCCGCCCCGTGCACCTGACCAAAGGTCTTCCAGGGTGGGTGGGGGTCCCGTCGCTTCTGCCAAGCATGCCCAGCGGAGCGGGGAGGGGAGAGGGCTGGGGGACAAGCCGGGCGCGCTCGCGCCATGTCTGACATCGTACCCCTTCCTCCCACCCCTTTCCATTGCGCTGAATCCTTCTCTATCCGTGGACGCGTGTCATAGCCGACCTGGCACTCCACACAAGACCCCATCGTGTGATGCGCCATCGGAAGAGAGGGGAGGTGCGCGCAGGGGAGGGGGAGGAGGTGGCGGGTGAGCAGGAGGAGGAGCAGGAGGAAAAGGAGGATGAGGAAGAGGACGACCACCAGCAGCAGGAACTGGAGTGGGCGGAGTGAGGGGAGCAGGACGACCAGGGGAAGGTGGACGAGGGGAACATCTGGAGGAGACATCGATGAAAAAGGACCCTGATCCAGAAAAATGCTCGCGCTGATTCTGAACGACGGCCGGGAGCCATTCTAACCGACAGGAGCACAGTGCCGATCCGAAAATGAGTCCCACGCTGCAGCGGGAACACAAGTTTGAAGCATGGAAAACAAACACTTTGTAATACCCTGCGACGTACTAAACCATGTGCAAATTGGCCCACAGTAGCATGGCTGATGATAACACAGGAACCGTCATTTGTTGTGAAAGCTCCATGACATGCGCTCCCGTTGCACGCCTCATTGGACAGCCACGGAAGCACGAGGAGTGATGTCCCCCAAGGATGGAGAGGTCCTGCTCTGCTCTGCGTAGCACGGCGCTGAGCTGGCCCCCCAAGGAGTCCACGAAAGTGGCGATAGTTTTACAGTTCGCACCCCCCCCAGAGATGGCGAGGGCCCGTTCTGATCCGTACGGCACCGCGCTAAGCTGGATCCCCTCAGCAGCCCTCGAAAGTGGCGACGGTTTCGCAGTTCGCAGCCCCTCGAGGAGGGCGACACTGAGGCGTCACTCCGCTGCCCCCCTAGCAACCCTCGAAAATGGCGACAATTTAACAATTCGCAACCTTCCGGGGACTGAGAGGTCTAATCTGAGCCCGCGCATGACGTCACCCCGCTGCCCCCCTCAAGCAGCCCTCGAAAGTGGCGACAGTTTCGCAGGTCGCCCCCTCCAAGGATGGCGAGGTCTAATCTGAGTTCGCGTAGGCCGTAACTATGCTGCCCCCGCGCAGCGGTAACTCGCTTGCTTCAAGGCACGCCTGAGCGTCACGCACAAGCCGTGTCTCGCCACTGGCCTCCTGCTGTGAACACCCGCTCGACGCTAGGGGAATCCACGGCCCTCCCTGGACATCTTTCTGCCCTCGCCTGCTGCTGTCACTGCTTCTCCGTTCTCCGTGAGCTGTGCTACGACACCCGGGTCCTTGGCAAACCACCGCCACGTGGTCTCGCCGGCTCGCTTCACCTGGCTTGCGCACTGGAAAACGGGGCTCTCATTCTAGCGGTGGGCTGATGGTGCTGATGGCGATCATGGTGCACTTGGTGATGGTGACGGCGGTCACGGTGATGATTGCGATATTGGTGGCAAAGGCGACGTTTTGACAAGGATGGCTGCTGCTGGTGATGGCCACACCTGCAAGCGCGACGGGCAGCGACCGCGCCGCGTCCAGCACCTGCCGCTGGGGCGGCGAATGGCAGAGGCGCGCGCGCGCGCGTCAGCCTGCGCGCGGCTCGGGCGGCGCCAGGGCAACCGACCTTCCAAGTAATTAACCGGGCTCGAACTCCCCAGGGCCCAAGAACGAGCGGTGGCGCTAGCGCCAAGACGGGGCCTCGAGCCTAGGCGAGGGCACCCTTCGGGGCCTGCCGCCCCCGCGGGCCTCCACCACAGACGGCGGGGCCGCGTGAGCGAGGAGAGATGCAGCCCGGGCGGCAAGGACCAAGCGATGCACGGTGTGCGGGCCACTGGCGGCCGCACCGCCGACTTCGCGAGAGGCTGCCGCGGGGCGCGGCTCCGCGGGGCCGCGGGCTCCCGGGGGAGCGGCAGTGGCCACCAGCCCCCTGCAGCAGCGCCGCGGTCACGCCTCGACGGCGCCAGCGGCACAGGAGCCCCGGACACCGCTCGCACCGTTGGGGCTGGCGACCCGCGGGAGGCGCACGACGCGCTCCGCGGCCCCACCGCTCTGCGGCGGGCCCGCCGCGCTGCTTCGTCGGCGTTGGCGTGCGCGACGACCCGCGCGACGGCCCCGCACCCGCTGCACAGTGGCGTGGTGTCGGTGACTCGTGTGCTGTGGATGTCGTGCGCCGGGGCTGCCCCGCGCCCGGCAGCCGCACGACTGCTCTCTGCTCGCCGCCGCCAGGGTCGCCTCCGTCTCCGCGTGCTGCAGTGGATGCAGCTGCTGCTGTGGCGGCCCCGCGGCCTCTGCCACCAGGCGGCTGATCCGCGACTCGCCTCTTGAGCGGCCGTCTCTGCATTGGGGTCTGCTGCCGTGCGTCGCGATTCCGTGAACGCCAAGTCGTGCCAGACGCCTGGAATTCGCTGGCCCAACGGGCCAGAGGCGTGCTAAGATCTCTGATACTACGTAACAGTATTTCTAGTTCGCGCGCGCGGGGCGGCCCCTGGGGGCCCCCGGACGAAAAGTACCCCGGCCGATCCCCGGCCAGGTCCCGGCTGGGTCCTGGGCGATCCCCAGGGGGGAGGCTATTTTTCGCCACCCCTCACGAGGATCGTGGCCTCCGAGGGGGTGGCTGCAATCGACTACCCCCCCTCCCGCCCCAAGGGGCCCCCAAGAGCCCCCCCACAAGAGGCCCCAGGGGAGTCCGAGACGCCGCCAAGGAGCCCAAGACGCTCCCAAGAAGCCCCCAAGAGGCCCCCAAGACGGCCCCAAGAGGCCCCAAATAGAGCTCCAGGGCCGGCGGAATGAGCGAAGCGATTAAATAACAGGGAAGGCAACACCACCGCAATTCCGCAGCAGTGCGGCTACTTCGTCGACCATCGCGCTGCCCTCGTCGCAGGTCTGGTGATGGCACGGTGATGGCAGCCCGCGTCGTCGCATGCGCACGTGCAGGTTCCCTGTCGCTTTCAGGTGGCTTTCCCTGCAGCGGGTGACCTGCAGTCTCGGGGCCAGGTGACCGCCATCGGCATCATGTCGGTGCCAAGCTGCATCGCTTTGTCTACCCAGGTCTGTGCTGACTCGGCGCACGTCCACCAATTTGGGCCAAGACGAGCGCATGTGAGTCGCAGTCGTGCAGCTTCGCCCTCTGCCGTGCCCGCACGATTGCTCACTTAGAACTCCGCTGGGCACGGGGTGCGCGTGCAGTGGACTTGGCCTTTCTGTTACTAGTGAGGCCAGCCCCGTAGTTGTTGGCGACGAGCCTGACAAAGATCCACAGCTCCCTTAACGGCCGCGTCCACGAGCAGCTCCACTTCTCACCCCAACCCTGGACCACTCGAGCCCGAACTGTCCAAAACATGATGGCACCCACGCTGGCGGCCATGGCCTCGCCTGCCGCCGTGATCTCCGTCGCACCCGAGACCTGCGGGGTGGGCCAGGGGAGCAAGGCGATGAAGCAGTGGGTCTCGCCGAGTCCTGATCCAGCCGGCCGCGTGCTCCATGGAGATTTGCAGCACCGATCCGTCTGGGTACAGCTTCCTAGTCAGCCTCTTGGCCGCGCGCTCTGCCTGCACAGGCGCGCGCCACAGGGCAAGTGCCTGCCAAGGGTCGGGGGCGAGGCCGCGGGACCACTTGGCGCCTCGCCGGGCGCCTGCGCCGAGGGCAGCATGCCCGTCAACCAGCGATCGGCGGCTGCCCGCTCGTCCCTGGCCTCCGCCGTCGCTGGGCACGACCAAATGAGGTGGCGCAACGTGCCTTTGGCCCCACGACAGCCGGCACGGCAAGACGGGGCCGAAGCCGAAGGAAAGTCGGCGTCGGTGCAAAGTGCAAGAGGCCGCGTGCGCCCTGAGGCGGCGCTCTGCCGTGAGGAACGCTGGGCTCGCAGCTCCTCCCCCTCCCTCCTCCTCCTCCTCCCTCCTCCTCCTCCTCCTCCTCCTCCTCCCTCCTCTCTCCTCCTCCCTCCTCCTCCCCCTCCTCCTCCGCCTCTCCCTCCCCTCCCCTCCCTCCTCCTCCCCCCCCTCCTCCCCCTCCTGCTCCTCATGCTCCTCCTCCGAGGCCCTCGCCGCGAACTTCCCGACGCTGCGCCTGGCGGCGCAGTCGGTCGGGTCCGCCAAACCCGTGCTCATCGGGGGTCCCTGGCCGCCTGCCTCCAGGAGGCGCGCTCGTGGGCCTCCCGCAGCAACCCGCGGAGCGTGTGGCCGCTGGCAGGCACGACGCTGAGCTCCCTGCCCCTGAGCTGCCCCAATACACAACACGCAACACGTAGCGTATTGTTACGGAGCTCGACACGTAGACTGAAAACGCAGGCCTGACGCGCTACGTTCGCCAAAACGTGGGCCAACACGCTGAACCAACGCGCAACGTATTGACACGGACGTTTTAATCACCGTACGTGCTTCGTTTCAAAACGGGCGTATCGAGGCAACTAATCCCTTCCAAGGTCGTCCTTCCGGCGCCCCAGGAGGGTCAGCGCCCTGTTCAGCCTCGTACACGCCAACAAGGTGGACGCGGCCATTGCACAGCAGTCGTTTAGCGCCCTCGAAGCATGAACCCAGCGCGCGCCGATCCCCCGCGTGATGACGGTGACGACGGTAGAAGTGGCAATGGCATCGGCGGTGGCCACAGATCTTCGCCATCCCGCCAGCCGCACATCCATGCAGCCAAGGCGCGAGGATGGCCTCCAGGGTAATACTTGTGCAAGCGAGGGACACGGATCAGGAGGAAGGATGAGGTAACTCAGAAGGATAGTGTCTGTTCGCCAGCGTGGACCCCTAGCAATGGGTTCTTGCACTCTCGATATTTACACTACGTGAAGCAATCTAGGTGAGGCGATATATGTGGATGTGGACCGCGCTAGATGGTGCAAGCCCTGGGGTGCAATGCACGTATGCGGTGCAAGCTGTTGGGTTCACGATGTGTGAGGCAAACAATGACAGGGAATCCGATGCATGGCGCACAGTGTACGGGGTGCAGTCTGTGCGGGGCAAACCCTGCAGTGCAATCTGTGCGGTGCCTTCGATGTGGATCAATATGTCTGGTACTGTCTATGTGGTTGAGTCTGTGTGTGCATCCTGGGACACGAGCCAACGCACGAGACGGCGATGAAGCGGTGATGACGCTCCCTCCTATCCGCCCAGCGTGCATCATGAGCGGACCGCGTTAGCCACCGCACAGGGCCGCCTCGCCAGCTCGCGCGAGACCCCTTCGAAGAAGGGACCTCACGCGAGGGGGAGGAGGAGGAGGAGGAGGAGGAGGAGGAGGAGGAGGAGGAGGAGGAGGAGGAGGAGAGAGGAGGAGGAGGAGGAGGAGGAGGAGGAGGAGGAGGAGGAGGAGGAGGAGGAGAGGAAGGAGGAGGAGGAGGAGGAGGAGGAGGAGGAGGAGGAGGAGGGGAGAGGAGGAGGAGGATGAGGAGGGAAGGAGGAGGAGAAGGAGGAGGAGAAGGAGGAGGAGGAGGGAGGAGGAGGAGGAGAGGAGGAGGAGGAGGAGGGAGGAGGAGGAGGAGGAGGGAGAGGAAGGAGGAGGAGGAAGGAGGAGGAGGAGGAGGATAGGAGGAGGAGGAGGAGGAGGAGGAGGAGGAGGAGGAGGAGTGAGGAGGAGGAGGAGGAGGAAGAGGACGAGGAGGAGCGACGAGTAGAGGGGAGGAGGAGGAGGAGGAGGAGGAGGAGGAGAGGAGAGGAGAGTAGGAGGAGGAGGGGAGAGGAAGGAGGCGGAGGAGGAGGAGGAGGAGGAGGGGAGGAGGAGGAGGAGGAGGAGGAGGAGAAGGAGGAGGAGGAGGAGGAGGAGGAGTGAGGAGGAGGAGGAGGAGGAGGAGGGGGGGGAGAGGGGGAGGAGAGGAGGAGGAGGAGAGGAGGAGGAGGATGAGGAGGAGGAGGAGGAGGAGGAGGAGGAAGAGGACGAGGAGGAGCGACGAAGTAGGAGGGGAGGAGGAGGAGGAGGAGGGGAGGAGGAGGAGGAGGAGGAGGAGGAGAGGAGGAGGAGGAGGAGGAGGAAGAGCGGTGACTGGGCGGGCACTGGGCGAAAACCTACAACTGCGGGCTGGCGCACGAGGCGGCGACGAAGCGGCGACGGGTTGGCACGAGGCGAACGCCACGGCGGCGACGTGGCGACGACAAGGGCGGGCACCGGGCGGAAGCCCGGAGGCGGCGGCCGAGCGCACGAGGCGGCGACGAGGCGGCGACGGGGCGCGCACCCTGCGAGAGCCCGGAACCGCAAACCAGCGCACGGGGCGGCGACGAGGCGGCGACGGGCGGGCGGCAAGCCGAAGCCGGAACTCGCAGGCCAATGATGTGGGCTCCGAAGAGAGAGAGCACCCTACTGCAAGCACTGCAGGGGGAACCTGGTGCCTATGTCATCCCTCCTGCTCACGTGACACCCAGCAGCGTGGGCGACCATGTCGGCGCCACGGCAGCAGCTCCGGAGATACCGAAGCAGGCACAATCAGGAGACCCCTCCTCCTCCTCCTCCTCCTCACTTTCTTCCTCCCCCTCCTCCCCCTCCTCCTCCTCCTCCTCCTCCTCCTCCTCCTCCTCCTCTTGCTCCCTTCCCCTCCAGCCTCCCTCCCGCCTCCCTCTCTCATCCTTGCTGCTCGCGTGACACCCGGCAGCGCCACCGGGCCCCGCTGGAGGACTGCCACCTCATCGCGCTCCGTCACCAATCCTCCAGCACGTCCACCTGCATGTCCAGGCAGTCCCAGGAGACCAGTGCACTACCAGAAGCCCGAAGACCAAGTATGGTGACAGTCGAGAACGCACCACGACGAAGACAGACGATGTGATGATGATGATGATGATGATGATGATGAAGATGATGCTTCACAGCCCGATTGCAGCCAAAAGACTCGAGGTCGAAGGTGCTAACAGCAAGAAAAACGCACCAACACGGCGCAAGTGACAATCATTGTATCCGCTTGTCCCTTGCGAGGTCACGGTGCGAGAGACATCTTTTCGTTTCGACCAAGTCACCATTGAATCCAAGTGGTATCGTAGGCTGGTCGCTACGTAGGGCTCTGTGATGCACCGGAGCTCTCTGGCAATTGGTCACCGAAGAGGTCTGCTGCAACATAATCCCACCAGCCCTCTGGGCGTAGGTGGTTCCGGGAATTTCCTCTGCCACCCCTCCTTCTTCCCCTTGGGGAGGGGTTTACCCGTCCCCCTAACCCCCTCCCCTGGACCTGGACGGGGGGGGGCCGCTGGTAGTTAGAGCGTCCAAGACGGCCTCGGCGAGGAAGCCAAACTCATCGGTTTTACTAAGGTTTTGGCCCCATTTTGGCCTCTTGGGGGGGCAGGGCTAATTAACTCCACCCTCTTCTTTGATCGATCGCTTCCAAGGTGGCCCCAAAGGGCGCCCAGGAGGCCCCAAGAGGCTTCCAAGAGGCCTCCAGGACAGTTCCAAGAGGCCTCCAAGAGGCTCCAAGAGGCCGCCATGAAATTCCAAGAGACCCCCAAGAGGCCCCAACAGGTCTCCAACAGGCACCCAAGAGCCCCCCAAAAGGATTCCAAGCGGCCTCATGAGGCCCCCCCGAAGCACCCAAGACGCCCAAGAGCCCTCATTGACCGCCAAGAGACCCCCAAGACGCCCGAAGAGGCTTCCAAAAGGCTTCCAAGAGACATCCGAGCGGCATTCAACCATCCACCCAGCGTCATCATTCTCCTCATCCCTCCTTCGCTCGGTTCCTCGCCACCCCTTCATCTATCCATCTGGCCTCCTGTTCCGCCTCATCCTTTGCACGGATCGGCTGTCCCTCTTGTTGCTCCCCCACTTCCCTGATCTCTTCAACTTGCCTGGACATCGTTTCTGGATGGGCTGGTGGGGATTTTTTTGATTCGCGGCCCGCAAGGAAAAATCCAGAGGGCGGTGTGAACGAGGCTGGGGCACAGCGCACGGGAAAGCAGATAATTAACGGCGCTGGACAGGTGCCAGCCAGAGAGGCAACCGCGAAGGCGCCAGCTGAAGCCCAGGCGCCACCACGCGACCACCAAAAGCCGCTGAGCATGTGCCAGCAGACGGGGGTGGGGGAACAAATGCAGACAATTGGCGACGCTGGACATGTGCCAGCGAAAGAGGAACCGAGAAGGCACCAGCATATAATTAAAGGCGCTGGACATGTGCCAGCAAAAGAGGCAACCGTGAAGGCACCAGCTGAAGCCCTGGCGCTACCACGCGGACCCCAAAAGCCGCTGAGCGTGTGCCAGCGGAAGGGGGAGGGCGGAAAGGCCGGACCCGCAGGTGGGGTCAGACTGCCAGGCGGAACGTGCCAAAACCACTCACATCCCACTTGGAGCGTGCGCCAGTGTGAAGGCCACCGAGAGGGTTCGGGTCACTGCCTGGAGAAAGCGACCACAGGAGAGAGCGCCCGCGATGGCCGCAGGTTCCAAGGCTTCCGGGACAACGCGTGACCCCCTTCGCGGAAGATTTGCCGCGCACGTGTACCGTGCGACTCCCTCCCCTAGGGCGGTCCCACCTCTGGCGATGTCCTGCGGCTCAGGCCGCTCACCCCGACCTCTCGCTTCACTTTCCAGTTCCGCGGCTGTCGGCTGCACTCCCCTTCCCTCGTCGCCACGTGCTTTCTGTCGTCCTGCGGCTATCGGCTGCTGACCCCCTTTCTCGTCGCCACTGCTTCTACACTCTTGACTGCGGCTATCGGCTGCTAACCCCCCTTCCTCGTCGCCACAGGGAAGCGACTTCCGCTGGAGGATGAGTTGCTGTGGGCCC